CAAATAACATGTTGATGTGTGTTGTATTACTTATCTATACAAGAATTTAAATAATCTTCATATAATACAAGTAGACACTAACAGTCTAATATAAGCGGCCATTGAGGAACGATGGTGGACCGTGGAGGTGTGGACGAGTGATGATCATGACAAAGGGTCAAAAATCTTACCCGGTAAGAACAATGATAAAGATGAAAAGTCTTGCCCGGTAAGTAAGGGTGACGACTCTTACCTGGGTAAGTGTTTACCGGATAAATTATTGCATACAATACCATTTTGATGTACTGTATCGACATCGTTCTATTGTGCACTACTTTGTATGGCATCAATGTCTTAATGATGACTTCTTAAGTTACCAATCTTGAATGCTCTTTGATGACTCAACATTTAACGTTCTTTCTTATTTCTACTTCTGTAGAAACATCATTTTTCGGTTGAGTTTGTGTCGAAGACAAATCTTACTGTCGTCATTCGGTTTTCTCTAGCGGGACCTCAACCTATGTTTGTCATGCTTTTAGGAAAAGGTTTGATGATTATATCTCAATCAGGACAAATAATATATAACCTTTTTTTCAAATCAATCGAACCTACGATTTTTCTAGTTTTAGACAAACGTTTGATGAGTTAATGGTCTGTTATAAAGAAAATTGACTGAAATAATCAATCTTCCGACCATATTTTATTTTATAACCACCTTTTTAATGCAACTACCCAAATAACTGGATTTTAAGCACACATTTACGCAACCCATCTTTTTCTAATTAAAAAAAAATGCATGTGGTTCACGTGCACCTACATGAAGATATTATTAGAAGGATACTCGCGCAATACAGCGAGATAAATCTTTTTTTAATGTTTAGTTTTTATTATTTGTCTCTATCGATATAATACTATTTTATTTGGTTTTGAGAAAACGATAATGTTTTTATTTTTGAATGAAATATAAATTTGAAGATAACATAAAAGATTTTAAAAAAATAAAATCAATATTAGTATTAAATTAACTATTTAATAGTTCTCGTTTTTTGGTGTAACTTCTTTAATTCAATTTTTTATTATAATTTAATTTAGGTCTAATAACAAAATAATTTAGTTTTGGTTTAATAATATAATTTTTTATTAAAGATAATAACTGAACATTCGGTTAAAAACTTAGTGATTATCTTAATTATATTTTAAATTTTCTATATTTAAAATAGATGTTTATCTTGTATTTGATTATGTTTATCTGCATTAATTACACGAATTTAAAAATGAAGTTTTAATAAGTTGCACTTACGCAAAATCACTTGTAATATTGAATTTTAAGTAATATGCATCAATAAACAGTACTTCATGCATAAAAAATGGGTTTTAAGAGTTTTTGTCAAATGCTTTATAATATAGTAAAGATAAACAAAATATTTTTAATTTTTAAACTACATTCTATACTCTTATAATTAGTTATTAATTTACTTTATATTTGTTCGTTTTTCATGTTACACGTTTATTTTATTAACATACATAATAGTATATAAAAAAAATCAAGGTTCTAAAAAACACGTTATGATGTGCCATGACGTCGAGGCGTGACCATGCCGCCACGTTAAAGCCTGTGGCGTGACTCTAAGGCTGACTTGCAGTTGATGTGTTACGGCGGGTTATGGCGCGTTCCGACAAATTATACTCAAGGCGTGAATGGGGTTTTACTGTTTTTTTTTTTTTTGCTTTTTTACGTATACAATTTATGGCTTATTAAATTAAATATAAATGATTCTAATTGTTCACTGTAAAACATTCTTTTTGTTACGATCTCTTCATATCATTTTTGTAAACTTTATATATTTGATATCAAATTATCAATGTATGATTCTTCTTTTATTTACAGTTTTATATGAATATAATTATATTCATCATTATTATTCAATACAATGACACACACATATATATACAGATTTGTCATTTTAAGTCACGTCTTGAAAAACATCATGGTCCCGCCGTAAGTTAAGGCTTGAGGCTTGACCTCGTCGTCATGACATGTCTAACACATTTAGAACCTTGATTAAAATACATTACAAATTCGTTCTTTTTTTTAATACCAATTATATCATCATAATCGTCTCGTCAATAGTTTCAAAATGAGTTTAATATTGAATATTTTTTTAATTTAGTCATATAATAAAATATCATAAATATGTACGAATTGTTTATAATGCTTACACATTATACTCCTATAGTTATTTATTTAATTTGTAACTATAAAGGTATTATGTGTAAGTATTAAAAATAATTCATACATATTTATAATATTGAATATTGTATTAAATTTCAGTAATATTCAATATTGCGCTCATTTTAAATATATTCAAGAGACGACTATAATAGTATAATTATAAAAGGAAGAAACACATTTTTTGATGTATCTCAGTTATTATAGTTTTATGTATGTTAATACGATAATGAAATGTTAATAGATATCCCCGTTCAACAAACTTATGTTAAAAGTCAAACCTCGATGATGAAATATTTTATATAGGGGTTGTTTGTTTACCTTTTAATAGTTCCATTAAGAGGTGAATCTTGTTTGGTGAAAAAAAAAACATGTCTCTTAATGGTTCTAAAACCATCTGAATGATTTTATATCATGGGCCTCCCTTAACCATTCAGCGCCCTAATTTCGTTGTAAATAATTACCAAACATGATATTTTATTTTGCACTATATCATTAAAGTCTCTTAATCATTCCGACCACTTAATCATTTTGCACCAAACCATTCAGCAACTGCCAAATAACATCATAATCTCTCTATAACATATTTGAGATAAGTATATTTCTCTGGGATTTACCCTAGAATTAATTACTTACAAGGGTCATTTCCTCATGAGATTAGACATTTGTACGATTTTGGTGTCATAAATTAGATATATCTTATTCCTCCTTATTTTCCTTACATTTCTAAATAACCTCATTGGATAATAGTAGGGTTAGATATTGTTATCTTAAAAACCCAACAATAACCTCAAAAGATATACTGGTTCTAATTTTTTTTTTATCCTCGAGACCATATTTTTATGAAGACAAAAGATATTCAGGTTATCATTTGTTCAATTAGCAAAATCTGAAGCTTTTGCTATTTCGATAACTAATAAGAAAGAAAATTTTCAACATTTTTGTGAAAATAAAATCCATTATAAAAGAGCACTTGGCTTTCGAGTAATTTTATAGGGAATGGAAGCCAGCTTCAAAAAAGGATTTTGCACCTATGCTATCACCACCTCCACAACCATTATTGGCCATCGACCACCATCGTCCATCGCCACTACCACCATCGGCCACCTCCACCTTCTCTTCTACTACAACAACCTCCACCACCTACACAACCGTCATCGACCACTGACTAACATCATTCATCGCCACCACCATGGGCCACCTCACCTCCACCATAACCACCACCATCGGCTACCACTACTACTACCACTACCCACCACCACCACCTTCTACCATTACCACCTTCGGCCACCACTATTGACTGCCACTACCACTATCTATCATATTCACGTCCTCCACAACCACCATCGTCCATCTCCACTACTACTAGTATCGTCAGTCGCCACCACCTCTGCCCACCATCACACCTACTTCTACCATGTAGGCCACAACTGCACCACCATCCACTTCCACCACCACCACTGTCCACCATATTCACGTCCTCCGCAACCACCATCGTTCACCAATTACCAATGCTAATACCTCCACAACCATTGTTATTACAACAATCTTCACTGTGCCTTCACCACATAATGAGATCATCCAAACCGAAGAAAACATAATTTCACCTTTGTATGATTCGGATTTTTCAAACTACCACCATTTACATAAAAAAAATTAATTCAAATTTGGTACTATTTTTTATTTATGTATATGAAAATTGTATAAAAAAATTATAATTTAAATTACCTACTTTATTAACTATTATATAATACATAAAATCATAAAATAACGTTTGGTGACAACTTGTATAGTTCTGTTTTATCCAATTATAATTGCACCAAACATCATACAGACAATTGTTATGTCCAGTCCAATTTCGTCTTGTCCAATCATATATGTGTATCAAACGTTACATTTAACACCAACTACAACCACACATTATGTATGTTTAATAAAATTAAAAGATATAAATTAAATTAAATAACTAATTATAATAATATAAAATATAATTAAACAACTATTAAAGTATAAATTTACTTGAAATGTGGTTATTCAAGATCATATATAATGAGGTCTCTTTTTTCGTTAGTTCTCATTTTAAATTTCCTATTTATTATTTTTAAATTATGAAAATAAATTACATCCATAAAATTAGAGAAATACTAAAAAAAATAAATGGAGGGAAAGGGAATAATAACTAAAAAGGGGGGGGTGTATAGAAAAAAGAATAAAAGTAAATTCAATTCCCCACACAGACACTATACAATCTCGTACTTGACGATCTTTGCCACGTACACCCTTTGGAAGCTGAACCCGCCACCCAAAATTATAAATTAATAATTAAAAAATATATGTTTTCAAAACACTGACCACATGCGTGTCAGACCGTGAAATTACACTCCACCAGCCGTGTTCAAATCTGATTGGCCCACGTCGCCCGCACGGAAAAGTTTACAGTACACGCGTTTGATGAGATCAGGCATAGACGGCCGAGATCAGGGAGATAGGTTTTTAGGCGGGGAACCACTCTCTTAACATACTCCCACACGTCACTCGATCAGTTGCCCCCTGCCCGTAATGTTACTGGGCAGTCCGGGCAGTCACCAACGTGGCAACACCAGAAAGCTTCTCTTCAGGTCCATCTTGTTTTCTTTAGTCTTCCCCTTTTAAACACCTCTCCCCCTCAATTCTTCAAACTTGTATTACGCATCTCTGTGGGTTTTTGTGCACAGTGATCAAATATTCTTCGAATGATTTTTTAACAGTTGTTTTATGATCCTTGAACTGGTGGCGGTGGCGGTGGCGGTGGAGGTGGTGGTTCAAAATGGCGGAGATTTGCTGCGGGGTTGTGAGTGAGAACGAGGCCTCGCCGACTTGCGAGTCCAATTCACAAGCAGCAAGGCGTAAAAGGATGGAACTCCGCCGTGTTAAGTTTGTTGCCGGAGTACCGACGCTCGAAACGGAGAACGGGGTCAAGCAGGCCAGATTATCGATCTATCCGGCGTCGTTCTCCCGTGAGTGCAACGAAATCGCTTTCCAGAACTGTAGTGCGTCGGAGTTAAAACCGAAACCGGAGGATGATGAAGTCGATGTTGCCAAGTCATCGTCTACGGCTGTAGTGGCCACAATTTTCAGACCTTTGGGATCCACCGTTTTTGTTGGAGCAGAACCGCTCCCGAAATTTGGTGTGGCGTCGGTCTGCGGACGGAGGAGGGACATGGAAGATGCCGTTGCCATTCATCCTTCTTTTTTAGCCAGAGACGATAATCAGACTTCTAATTTGCACTATTTTGGTGTCTACGACGGCCATGGTTGTTCACATGTATGTATAATTAAGATCCATAATCTGAAATTGAAAAGGTAATTAGACGTTAATTTTCTCGATCGTTCAAGTTTTCCGTGTAATTATTATAGGTCGCAACGAGGTGTAAGGATCGGCTACACTTGTTGGTGAAAGAAGAGTTGGACAAAAAGATGGAATCAATGGAGTGGACGAAAACGATGGAGCAAAGCTTCATCCGAATGGACAAGGAGGTAATAGATTGGAACCAAGGGGCCGTAGGCGGTAACTGCCGGTGCGAGCTTCAAGCTCCGGAATCCGATGCTGTCGGATCAACGGCGGTCGTTGCGATCATGACTCCTGATAAGATAATAGTTGCGAATTGTGGCGATTCGAGAGCCGTGCTTTGTCGAAACGGAAAAGCAGTGCCTCTATCAAACGACCACAAGGTTGGTTTTCACGACGATACTGGTAGTTAAGAACGGCATCCGACGGTCCATTTCCGTTATCAACTCCTTTATTACTTTTTACGTGCAATTTTGCAGCCTGATCGTCCAGATGAGCTCAACCGGATCCAAGCCGCCGGCGGGCGAGTTATATACTGGGAAGGAGCGAGAGTTCTCGGAGTTCTTGCCATGTCTCGAGCCATCGGTGAGTATTAATCAATTAATTTTCGAACAGCCAACACGCTCAATCGAATTTATCTAAAAATATTCGGTTATTTCATGTTTTTGATTCATCAGGCGACAATTATTTGAAACCTTACGTGAGCTGCGAGCCAGAGGTGACGATTACGGAAAGAACGATGGAAGACGAGTGTTTGATAATTGCGAGCGACGGACTTTGGGACGTTGTATCAAACGACACAGCGTGTGGAGTGGCGAGGATGTGTCTGAAAGGGAAGCGACCGTCTGGAAGCATGAAGAATCCGGTGGAGAGCGAGGAAGCGACGTCGGAGAATTGGGACAAAGCGTGCAGCGATGCGTCGATGCTACTAACGAAGTTGGCGTTGGCACGACGGAGCTCCGATAACGTGAGCGTGGTGGTTATAGATCTGAGGAAGAAATGAGAATATGCACGATGATGGAGTTTCAGGTTGTAGCGTTTTAGGTGCCAAAAACTAGAAAAAGAACAACAATGGGGGAAGAAACATTCTGCTCCATTTTCTATGAAAATTTTAAGCTCAGATGATTGTAATTATTTTAAAATCAAATCAATTAATTGGTTGTGTTTTTTTGTTAATTCCCTTTTTATTTCTTGGTCATTTATTTAATTTATACAGATTTTGTTTTGTATATAAAATAACATATGAAAATTGGTTTGTAAGCTTTATACTCAGTTATTTGTAATATATTTACTGCTAGTAGTTATTTATGTTCTATTAGACGGTGAAATAATGTGATAGTTAATTGTGAATGTTAAAAGTGTTTTATGTGAAACGTTAAGATGCGTAAAAACGATGTTAATGATGAAAAGTATTTATAACATGAAAATGTGACGGATGTATGTTTGAGGAATCGAGTGTTAGTAATGTCGATTTGAACGTTTTGAATCATGTGCGTGGTGGAATAATGTACGAGACGATAAAAAAGTGCACTTGGATCTTTTGTTTGAACTGTATATGGTGTTAAAAAGTGTTAAAGAGTGTAAATGATCAAGCTTGAACGGGATGCTGAGTCAATGATGATCGAGAGGGGTGATGCCAAACCAGATCTAGTTTGAACCATGTAAAGTATTGTAACATAAAGAGTGGTAAAAAGGTCAGAGTGTTTGGATCATGTAAAGGGAATGAAGTGTTGTAATCATATTTCGATTACAAGTGCTTGAACAAGTGTACAATCATATCACTGATGTTTAAAACAACAGTGTCCCAATTGTATAAGTGGATGATGTTGTCAAATGTTTTTTTTAAATAGCACTAATAAAAGAACTAGCAAGACGCTATAACAAACAATTAGGAAATAGTCAGGAAAGGGTTGTCAATGATGTTGTCGATGTGAGTGTCGGAGTTATGTGATGGAATGATACATGTTCAATGAACATTTAGGGACATAAGTGCACAATTCCTCATTGATGATGTTTATAAAAACAGTGTTACAGTTGTATAACAGAGCGTACTAGGAATTGACATAAAAGAACACGAGCTTATGTCATGTTATAGGCAATGCTTATAACATGAGCGACGAGTGTTCAAATCATCTGATGTATAGTTTCACATAATCGAGCCCATAAACAATGTTTTAGGGTTCAGTTCAGACACTTCACGGTCCCATCTCTCAAATTTTTGTAGCCGGTTCTATGGTGCCAAGCGTATATGAGTCCTATCAGACCCGATCCATTTTGAACCTCTTTTTGGCCTTTGAATTTTTGTGGTTTCAGAGTCGAATATTCACAACCATCTTTTCCCACATTTCTTCCATCACTTCATTTCCATGTTTCAAGATTTTTAACATAACGTTTTTTATCATTTTACATTTTTAAATTAGTTTACCAGCTAATTTTTTACGAACTTAATTAATTTATCAGTTAACTTTTTTGTTACTAGTTAATTTATTAGCTAACAGTTAGTTTTCAGCCAGCTAGTTTATTATCTGGTTTGTCAAACATAACCTTATTGCTTGTTCTATCGAGTTATAATAGTCATTCAAACACACATACGACTCCACTAACAAATTGAGGCACAAAGTCTTGTTCACCGCTCCATTAAAATTCTGCCACCAACATAGACGGATGGTTTCAATGCTAATGTACTAGTATAGGCAATTACTTTATCACATGCTATAACGCCCATAACGAAATTGTAGTTCTCTAAGACACCTAATGGTGCATATGTAGTCATGAACCTTTTTACGGGTTCATGACGACTTTGTCATGCCAGTTTTCTGATTTTAAAATATACAATATAACATATAACATAACATATATAATATATCACAATAATAAAACATAAACTAACAATCGTTGAACATAGAGAATTTATGTGCCAAATGTTTATAAATTTATTAATAATGTTGTTTCTGACTTGATATTATGTGAGACCAACTTGTTTTTCGTGAGATTTATGAGACAATTTTTTTATACTTAAAACTTCACAACAAAAATATTGTTGAATACTGTGAAGGTAAGCTCAACAGTATTTTTGTTGTAAAGGTTCTGATTTTTTTTACCTTCACTGTGTTTTGCTGTGAAGTTTCAATTGTAAAAAAGTTGTTTCACGGGTCTCACGGAAACAGTCTGGTCTCACATGAACCAAACCTGATTCTAACTGATAATAAGAGTGAATTACACTGGTGGTCCCTGTTGTTTGCTCAAATTTTGGATTTAGTCTCTAAAAAAACTATCTATACTGGTGATCCCTAACTTTTCATCTTCATAACTCATGGTCCCACACTTAATGACGTTATTTAACAACCTTTATGAATGATTAATCGGTCTTTGAACAAACTATATGGATCAAAAATATAATCTACTTTAAAATTTAATGTGATACACATGTTTTTTAAATTTTTTATTCAAAATATTTTATATAAAAAATCAAAAATTTTAAAATAAATTACATATTAAATAAAAATCTTTATATTTATTTAGAAACTATTAAATTCACAAAAAATAGCATTAAAAAATCTGAAGTTAAAAAAAAAACAAATTAAATCAAGATAAAGTAATGTATCTTTTGGGTTGAGAATTAAATTATGCAAGCAAAATATTGAAAATTAAGTTTGGTTAACATTAGATTATTAATATATATTCAAATTACAAATAATTAAAATAATAACAAAATAAAAATTATAAGTTAAGATTAAAAAACACTGATTATTCAAACAAATAAGAAAAACCATCACTACAACAAAATTAGGTTTATATGACGTCAAAAAAATTAAGCATCCTAAAAACCCATCTTTTTATAGGATGCTTGTTTTTATAGGTAACTTTTTTAAATAGTATCATATAAAATTGTTAATACAACGCCTTGTACAATAAGTGTTCTCAAAACTTGTTAAGACGTTCAAAAACGTCATATAAACCTATTGTAACGTCTTTAGATAAGACGTTTTATTTTTTAGTTTTATAAATTAAATCTTATAAAATGGTTTATTAGATTATCTCCAACCAAACAATAAAAACACAAAAATGGAGGTGTTTACATTTCCAACCTAATACTAAATCATTAAGAAATGGAGGTCTAAAATATTGGCCCTATATTTGCAGGTCAATAAAGTAGGCCTCCAAAAATATATAGTAATATTTTATTCAATTTTTCTAATCATATATGTAGATTAATAATTTAATACATTAATAAAATATTATAAAATAAATACATATATTATTTTATTATCACAAATGTTTTAGATGGCGTATGTTTTTTTAAGAGGTGTTGAAGTTTGAAATTTGATTACATTTCTGATTTATAAGAGGTGGTGCTGAAGTTTGAAATCTGAATCAGTCAGACTGTTTGTTTTTGTAAACTGACAAACGTCTGAAGTCTGAATCAATAAGACTGTTTGTATTTGTAAACTGACAAACGACTGAAGTCTGAAATATGAATCAATTTATTTTAAATAAATTCAATTGAAATATCCAACATTTAAACCATTTGTAAACTGCCATTCAAAAATTCAACTGAAATACATCAATTGATTCAACACACAACGTAAAATATGAACAAAGTCTCGTAACAACTAGAATCAATATTCATTTTGCATTAATTGTGTCTTGCAGTTTCTTCTCTCAAACTAGCCATATATATTTGGTCAATGATACTCCCATGTGGTTGAACCTCTTCAGCCTCATCCTCGTCATTGTCCCTTTGCTCGTTGGTTTGATCATACTCAGAAAATAACCCGTCACTTAAACATTTCTTTGATATGAAGTTGTGAGCCGCAAAGCATGCAATAATAACGTCTCTATGAACCTCAAGTGTAAATGGTGACATATATTAATAATCTCATGTTAGCGGAACTTAATTTTCAATATTTTTGATCGCATATTTCTATTCTCAATTCAAAAGATATTTGAATTTATCTCGATTTCTTTTGTTTTTCTTAACTTGAGATTTTTCAACGCTAATATTTTTTGTGAATTTTATAGTTTTTAAAATTAATATAAAGATTTTATTTAATATGTATTTTATTTAAAATACTTGATTTGTGATTTGATATAAATATTTTTTTAATAAAAAATTAAAAGAACATTAATTATATTATATTTTAGAGCAAATTGTATTTTTGGTTCTTATAACTTGTTCAAAGACCAATGAGTCATTCATAATGTATGCTAACTAACATTGTTAACTATAAGGACCATTAATGTTATGAAAATGAAAAATTAGAGACCATCAGTATAGATAGTTTATTTTAGAGATCAAATCGAAAATTTAAACAACCCCAGGGACCATCGATGTAATTCAGTCTGAAGATTATGTGAAATATTTATTTTCAAGAGTACCCCTACAATATGATTAAATACAAGAAATAAATCATAATTGTAATTTAATACCAAATTTAAGTTGGTTAAATTTCAACCGTCGATCAAATTTTGAATGGTTGTGATCATGTTGTATAGGTTGTATAAGTTGAAGGAGTTGTATAATAACCCACTCTTTATATATATATATATATATATATATATATATATACACACACACACAAGAATGATACTCGCGCAATTTAACGAGATATATTTTGATTTTAATTCTTTATTTTATTTTATTTTAATACAATTGATGTTATAATATAGTTTTATGTGATTTTGAAAAAATGATAATGTTTTTATTTTTGAATAAAATTTAAATTTGAAAATATTATAAAAATTTGACAAAAATATATCGATATTAGTATCAAATTAACTATTTAAAATTTTCTCATTTTTTGTGTAATTTTTTAATTCAATTTTTTATTATAATTTAATTAGGTTCAATAACGAGGTAATTTATATTTGGTTTAATAATATATATTGTTTATAAAGATAATAGTTAATTATTTTGTTAGAACTCAATAATTATCCTAATTATATTTTAGATTTTTTATATTTTAAAATGAGATTTAAAATGAGATGTTTATCCTCTATTTGATTATGTTTATCTCCAATTAGTTACACGAATTCAAATATGGAGTTTTAATAAATTGTACTTACGCACAATTTGCTTGTAATCTTGAATTTTAAATAATATGCATCAATAAATAGTACTTCATACATAAAAAATAGTTTTTAAGAGTTTTTATCAAATGTTTTATAATATAATATAGATATATATGATGAAGGGGTAGATTTATGGTGTTGTTTTAACATCAATTACCAAACTTAATCAAGTAGATAACCAACTCTTTCTTCCCTTTTAAAAACCTTAAGTGACTCATAATTGACAACATTTTAAAAATAATAATATATATTTATATTAATCTAGTTTTATATTCCAATAATGATATATTCATATAGTATCATATTATTGTTAATTAATAAATTAATAACTTGGTATTTAATCATAATAACAATCATTTAATTAGAGTTTTATTGTTATTTGATTAAAATATAATTTTTCATATTGTATTAAAATATATTCATATACTGTATTATTCAAAAAGCTAGAGATGGACCAAATCTGCTAATGACAAGTTCATAACCAGTTATAATCGGTTCCATCCAAGAAACACTGCCACGTAATTTATTACAACATCACAAGTTTCAGTCACTTAACTGGTTATTAGCTCAAAGTATGTAGTTAATAGGACGATCACATTCACCTTATTGAGTTGATAGATAAATGAACTAGCCCAATGACCAATCAAGTAAGTATTTTCTGGTATCAATCTCGACAAAAAATCCTATGACTACTGCTAGGCCCGGTAACGGTCCCATCAGGGTTGTCATGGGCTCAGTTGAGCTTTTTAAACATATTTTCTAAAATCTTTTTTTACACAAAAATATTATGCATAATTATATAATTACGATTTTTTTTTATTTTGCATTGAAATAGACTTTAAATAATACATTTAAGTAGATAAAATATTGAAAATTAAGAAAAAGAAGTTGAAACTTTTTAAAAAAATGAAAAATATGTCCTGTATAAAACCGATCTCGGCCGAGCCAAAACTTAAAATTCCATAAAACTTATAATTGATCCCTGACCGTCGAGTCATAACCGATACCGACGATCCCACAGTCTGATCACAGACCAGATTGGGCCCAATCTAACCATCTCTACTTCTTTGACATTGAAATGGACTTGTATAACTGATCATAAAGGCTCACTCCACCCACATGGATTGGATTGTTCGGTTTTCTGAATGTTTATTAATTTTTGGTAACGAAACTTGTGTTACAATTATAAATAAACTCGTCTTACGATAATAAATACAAAATAAAATGGCTTTTTAATAAAGAATTGGGTCTCAACTGATGGTAACTAATCCTATTGTATGTGTTGAGTGTAGTGAATAGTGATTGTGTGTGTCGGGATATGGACCTTAAGGTAGTGTTTAGTATGCAGACTGGATGAGATAGAACATGACGGGATGGGACGAGACTAATTGTTTGATACGACTTGACAGGTAAAGATAAAATTGTTAAAATGACCACATTAACCCTAAATGTTGTTCGATTTAATTTTATATCATATAATGATTGTAAAAGACAAAAATCAACCAAAAATATATTTAAATTATTTAATTTATGATATCAATATTTTTTTTTAATATTCTGAGACCACATGTAAATAACATTCGTCATACCACAAATTCTAAATACGCACATAATTTAAAAAGTTTAAACACAACAATTGTAAATAATATTTGTCACGCCAACGTCAAAAGTTTAACATTTCAAGAATGGAGGTTGTGGAAGACAAGAAAGATGATGCAATATTTTGATATCAAATAATAAGGGCAATATTGTAATATCAAATTTAGTCCATGTTCTATCTTTCTTGGTGGAACAAAAAAACTCAAGAATTGTCCCACCCAATCTTACTTTTGTCCCATGACACACCAAACATGACTATTTATTTTTGTCACGTCCCATCCTGTCCCACTCAGTCTGCATACCAAACGCACCCCTACTGGTTTATAAAGATGCATAAAACAACGATCAGGTATGCTCCAATCAGTCTCGAACAACTTATAGGTTATCAATTACGAGTCCTAAAAATTTTCCTGACTGTTATCTGAGATTAGTCGAAATGCATGTAAACTTGCTCGAACAAAAAAAGGAACCAACTCCGTTATAGAAGCAACAACGACATAAAGAAGTAAATTAGCAATTTGGTAGCACTCGTTAAGGCTTGATTCTATAGAAAAGTACAAGATTAGCAAGAAAAAGCTAGTCATAGCTCGGGTAAAAACCGTTTACAGACATCCCACCATCGACACATATGATTTGGCCCGTGATATATGAAGAAGCCGGCATGCAAAGAAATGCAACTAACGATGAGACCTCATTCGGATTCCCAAGTCGCCCAAGTGGTGTACAATGAAGGACCTCTTCGACATACTCTTTGTTTCGCAGTACCTGAATGAAACCGTTTTAACTTAAATCATAAAATCATTCCAACATTTTGTACACATCTTCTAATACTACTCATAAATTACCAACTTCAACGACTAAACAGATACGTTGTTGGAAAAAAGCCAAGAAAAGCCGTTCATACCATGCAAAAAAGCGATTTTCAACAAACTGTGAACCAGGGTGGCAGGGTCGAAGGATGTTCTAATGTAAGATAAGAAACAAGGCCCCCAATTTTATTTTATTTTGATTAACCTGGATATCCAACTCGCTATGTGAGCCGACTAATCCCAGAGCGACCACCTGCTTTGCACCGGATTTGAACCTCCACGGCCACAAGGGGATTTTTATTCCTCCTTGGATTTGAACTTAGGATCTACAGGTACTTTTGACATTTGGGGCCAAGCTCAAACCAACCAGGCAACCCTAAACCAACCAGGATCGAAGGATGTTCTAATGTAAGATAAGAAACAAGGCCCCCAAATTTTTGGGTCCTACTACAAACGTTTTAGTGTCTACCCAATTACGTATGTTTTAATCATTTGTCGGTTCTACATATTTTAGCCCAATTATAACGTTTTAGCAATTCCCGGTTCCACCTTTTTCAAGAACGTTAAGAAGAATGATTCTGTTTAAATGGATTTCATATGTTACTTTTATCTTTTTAGTTTTTTTGTTGCTTTAACTTGTAAGACTCTTGATGTAAGATATGGTATGCTTTTTAATATTTCGTTTTATTTGTTACGCATGCGATCTATAATCATGGTACAGGTATAGTACGGCCTCCAAAAAGATTGGAAGATGGAAGCAAAGAGGAACTTACTTGTTCTACCATGGAGGTTTTGATATACCAAGGGGCAACAGCATTGCTCCTGATATCATCTTTTGCCCATTCACAAGCCAAATTTTTTGTAAGCTGATTAATTGCTCCTAAAACAGGATCAACAAAAATGTCTCAAATTTTCATCAACATAACCAAGGTTCTAAATAGCGTGAGGCATGGCATGGTGGTCAGATAAAGCCTTAGGAGCCATGGCAAGGCCACAGACATTTTTCAAGGCATGATTGAAGACAACAAGTCTCTGTGTGTGTGTGTATAGGGGGGGCTAATCATTTTAGAAACCACAAAATTATGAAAACCTTGAGAACTAGTACATGATATGTGTCACAAGCTATATGAAGGGTTTTGCTAGTCTTCTCAAGAACAGAAAAGAAGTTTCTTTGATTGCAGAGCTTAGCGAGTGCATTTAATACCAGCTGGTAAAGTTCTCCTATCGAGGCGAGGCTTGAGCAACTGTGATATATTTCACATGATTTTTTTCATTCAGGGTATTGATTAACATATTTCACATGAATTTGTTTAACAAAGTCAAACTTTTTACGTGATTGTGAAACAAAAAGTACACAAAAAAAAATTCATATTGTGAACCAAATATATGTTAATCAATACCTTATGGTTGAGTCCCGGTGAGAATGAAAGTTATAGTTAGAGGGGTAAGAAAGGATCTCCATCCTTGGATCAATCTTAACTGAAGATCAACTCTAATGCAGTGTACCGAGATGCACCGGATCAATTCCCGGTGATAAGCATAATTCATTGGGTGGGGGTGAGATTAAAAGTGTTCAACGGTCCATATCCCTTCTTACGCTTCTCATCTTAACTCCTATTCTCACACAATCCTTCGTCGAATACCTTAAATCCTATCCTTAGACGGAAAAAGATAATGTAAAACAATACCTTAAGGTAAAAGTTCTCATGACCTATGGGATTCTCATTTGATTATAGCACTCGTAACAATGTAAAAGGTAAAAAGTGGAGCAAAATTTTCAAACATAACTGGCGTCTTATACAGTTGCTACGGGGGTTAGCGTGCCGTTAGACACCCGTCTCGTGCCATGGTGCACCTTTTAGAACCCTATTTGAACTATAACTTCAGAATTTTACCTTTGGTGGCTCCTTGGAGTGTCATGGACTTGAGTGAGACAAAGGCCGAGACTGATGAAGTGAACACGACACTGCCTGCTCTTGACGCTTTGAGAAACGGATATGCAAGTTGGCAGATGTGAAAAACGGATTCAAAATTAGTTGACATCAGTGTGGAAAACTCTTCGGTTGTCAACTCCACCATAGGTTTCCGAATGTTTGTCCCAACATTGTTTATCTACTGATCCGTTGCACAAAATTACACCATAGTAAGATCATAAAGCGGAATTCATAACATTAAAAGCAGATTTGACACCCATAAGCTAGCTTATTTTTGAATTTTGAAAAACCCTCATTTGGTTAGCAATAAGCTAGCTTTTTTAAAGGCTATTTCAAGTAGCGTTCCAATAAGCTCCAGGTTTTCTTAAAAAAATTCCAATTATGCCCCTTATATTTTTCCAACTATTTTTTCAACATGCCTTTTTAGGTCATTTTGCATTGTCAACTAGCTTATTAGATAGTTTACCAAACATGACTAGTTTATCGGATAACAGTTAGCTTTTCAACCAATAGCAGACTTATCAGCTAGTTTGACAAACGTAGCCTAAATGTACCTATCATGGTTACTAGATGTTGAGATGACGTTATGAAAGGAACCTACAAAGAAGGCCATCCAAGCTTGTGAAAAAACTTCAGACAAAAACACCCCTCCTTTTGCTTGTGCAGTTACAAACTCTCAAAAAGCTCGTTTACCGCTTGTGGGTCCCACTTTTTTGGAAAAATCTAGGACGAAAAAAATCCAACCATTGTGAATGCTCAATATATAAATTATCTAACCAAACAAAAGAGGGAAAGTGCTTACAAGTATATAAAGCTTTCCACTGAACAAATGGGAAACATCATCCATTAACTTCTCACGATCACGTTGTGAGGACACATCACAGACTGAACCAGTGATCTCGAAACCCTCATCCATCCAACCCTTCAAACAGCTATTAAGTTCAGACTCATTTCGAGCACACGTGTGCACGATCGCCCCATGTCCAGCCAATTCCTCCACAATCGCACGTCTGTACATACAAAATACAAAATCTTAAACTTAAACAGGACCATATGTATCAGGCACGATAAAACATCACATCACATCATACCATGCGAGTCCTCCATTAAAGAATAAGAGCTACACTTGAAGTTGATGTTAAAGGGGTTTGCTTTCAAATTCAAATCTAATACAGATTTTAATTTCTTGAAGAAGAATTGCTATCCACATTCAACTTCATAACAAATAGTACAAATATAAGACTGTTGGTGTTAAAGGTAATACTAAGGGGTCGTTTACCAACACAAATTGAGTGCGGTCTGGGTCAGCACTAATCACATTCTGAATAAGATTCCCTCTCTTAGCTTACTAGGTCAGCATCTCGGTCAGTATCATGGACCGTTAAGAGGGGCTTGGTAAATAGTGGCATCTTTGACTCGATATAAGCAGGTAGCAAACAACCACTAAACCAAACCAGCACAATAAATCCCACAAGGACTAATAAGAAAATCAAAATGTAGCTCTTCTATGGATTAGTTAGGATGGAGAGAAACTCATACGTCTATTCGTTACACAAAATACCCAAATCCCAATTGTTGTATGAATATCAATCCCATTCGTATACTCCTTATATTCATATATATTTCTAAATATTTACATAAGCAAAGTACATATGCGGTTTATGCTTACAAAACTTTTTTTTGATTAATCTGGATATCCAACCAGCTATGCGAGCCGACTAATCCCAGGGGCGACCACTTGTTTTGCAGATAGCCCCGAGTCACCAACATAGCTTGTTTATCTTGTTATCACATCTTTCTTCACAAAAAGTATAAATCATCTCAGAGTTGAAGTTGAAATGTAGCACATTTGACTTTAAAACACATCTCTTTTTCTTGAATGCATCATCCAAAAAAATTAGCTATATATCAAACTTTGACATTGATATGCAAACAGGAAATGAAACCATGGAAATTTTCATATAAACTTGGAACTATAAAACACGTCTGATAGTGAACTCTGATTCAGGAACGAAGGGATTAATGTACATATATACACGAGTGTGTTAACCCAGCCCCCAAATAGCATGCATAGATGCATTGTTGAAAATACCCAAATCGTAGTTAGGGTTCGAAGCGTAAATCACAAATTATACAATAACACAAAATATCATATGTAAGACGAGGGTTTTGTTTGCGTACCCAATTCCTCTGGTACCGCCAGTAACAAGAGCTGTTTTCCCATGAAGAGACCATCTGTTTGAATGATTTTGATTCACGGAGGCATAAACTCGTGGGAAATTGGATCTAATTGTGGGTTTGGTTGAACAAGTAGAACGATTTGGGGAACTTGAAATTGGAAGGTTTCTGAGGATTAGTAGAGACGGTGGTGCATCACACATTGTTACACCAAGTGGGATTATTTATGGAGGTAACTTTCAATTTTGATTTTGATTTTGATTTTGAATTTGGGTTGCCTGCTTGATGAAGCAAGTTAGAAGTTCGAGGCACACAGTAGAGTAAACAAATATACATATTTAATAAACAATGGGATTTATTCCAAGAACTTGCTTAGTTTCATAAACCTTGAAGTTAAAGAGGTAAATCTACAATGTCTATGTGCAGGGGATTCAAGTTAGTTATTTATGTGGAGAAAAACCAAGGTTCTACCAGTTGAGTTACTCTCGATGGTTTAGCAAGAGATTGTTTATTTGTGGTATACTAATTGTGCAACGAGATACATCTTGATTTTAATATTTTATTTTATTTTTTATCTCAATCGATATTATAGTATGGTTTTATGTGATTTTAAAAAAAAACGATAATGTTTTTATTTTTAAATAAAATATAAATTTGAAGATATAATAAAATTTTGACAAAAATATATCGATATTAGTATAGGGACGGACCCAATTTTTTTTTCAAATGGTGGCACCATATAATTAATATAGTATAATATACATCTAAAAATAATTACAAAAAATATGGTTTTTATAGTACCGATAGGGCTGTAAACGAACCGAACGTTCAGCGAACCGTTCGTGAACCGTTCGGCGAACCGTTCGTAAACCGTTCGGCGAGAAGTTCGTTTATGTTTGTTTATTTAATAAATGAACGAACATGAACTATTTTCTTTTGTTCGTTTAGTTAAACGAACGAACATGAACAAGAGTCTCGTTCGTTTATTTATGTTCGTGAACGTTCGTTCATTTACCGTTCGTTTATATTCGTTTGTTTATATTCGTTTATATATTAAGTTTAATATATTATCTTTTATTTATTTACTTTGAATTCAAATATTATTTATTTATGTTCGTTTAGCTCATTCGTTTATGTTCGTTCGTTTACGTTCGTTTAGCATGTTTACGAATGAACATAAACGAACACGAACACACCTTATTTCTAAACAAACGAACACGAACACAAAGATGTTCGTTCGTTTACCGTTCGTGTTCATTCGTTTGTTCAGTTAAGTTAAACGAACGAACATGAACAAGCCTCCGTTCGTGTTCGTTCGGTTCGTTTACACCCCTAAGTACCGATAAACACCTCCTAAACTTGTACCCGACGCATCTTCATCTTTTGAAAACGGTCAATATATACCCAAAAATAATTACAAAAAGTATGGTTTTGGTTATTTGAGCTTTGTTTTGTTTGGGTTTTAGTTGCACCATTTGGATTTCAGGGAAATACGGTAGCACCTTCTAAAAACGATAAGGTAGCACCGTTAACAAACCTAAATTTTTTACCCTTCGGCCGCGAAATAATACGGTGGCACGTGCCACCCATGCCACCACATTAGGTCCGCCCATGTATTAGTATCAAATTAACTATTTAAAATTCCTATTTTTTGTATAATTTTCTAATTCAATTTATTAATATAATTTAATTTAGGTTTAATAACGAAGTAATTTATATTTGGTTTAATAATATAATTTTCTTATAAAGATAATAATTAATTATTTTGTTAGAACTCGATAATTATCCTAATTATATTTTAGATTTTTTATATTTTAAAATGAGATGTTTATCCTCTAATTGGTTATGTTTATCCGCAGTTATTTACGCGAATTCAAACATGCAGCTTTAATAAGTTGTACTTATGCATAATTTACTTGTAATCTTGAATTTTAAGTAATATGCATTAATATACAGTACTTCATGAATAAAAAATAGTTTTTAAGAGTTTTTGTCAAATGATTTATAATATAGTATAGATAGAGAGCTTATCCACTTAACTGTATCCATGTGTGTGTTTTACGACTTAATATGAATATTCCAACAGCCAACTTGGCTTAATCCGATCAACCCCTCTCCTGCTTTATGCATTCAACCACCCGTCTCCCTAAAATATCTGTTTGCTTACCACCTCCATCTCACGTTCACAAAAAGTATCAAGACCATCTAAAGAAATGGAGACCATCACTATTGTTCCACTCTTGCTCTCGACTCTCTTGCGTGTGCTTTCCTTCATCACTGTTGTTGCTCCCTTCTAGTTGTCCATTGCCTCCCCTCCTCTATATCGTTTTCTTGAAGGACCCAAATCCGTTTTCATAATCACATGATTCAACTGGATACTGAAGATCTGGTATTTTATATCTTAATTGATTGAGATGAATTAGGAATCCAAAGTTTAATAATTTCGGTGATTTCATTAGAAATTGAAGATATGGGGTTTCTAAATTTGGTAATCCAAAGTTCAATAATTTAGGGTTTTACATCTTAATTGATTGAAACGACCTGGAGGGGTATAATGTTGTTTATATTATTCTGATCGTTTATTCTGCAGATAAAGAACATGTTAATTGATATTTAACTAGAAACACACGATATTAATGAATCAAGAAGAAGGTTCTAAATGGCGTGAGACCTGATTTGGTGGTGAGGTCAAGTCTTTGAGCCTTAGCAACCACAACGAGGCCACGATGCTTTGAAGGTGTGACTTTTGGCGGCAATTATGTATTATCATGTCAAAGACCTTCCAGCCTAGTAGTAAAGGCTTGGGCATGACATAGTCATGAACCCGAGTTCGAGCCCTGGGAGGGGAGTGTTGGCGATATTTAAGTGGGGCCATGTTTAGCCTCCAAATTTGCCGGGGATTAGTCGGTTTTTGGCCCGGACACCCTTACAAAAAAAAATTATGTATTATCATATATATATATAATTGCATATGTCTACATGCCCATATGTTTTCTAACGATACTCAGCGAGTCATTGATTCCGTACAATTTAAATTAGGTTATATGCTAATAAGAAAAACACTAAAAAGGAAAAAAAGAATAAAAAGTATAAAAAAAGATCAAATTACGCCTTACAAAAACACTGCATCAGACCATGGCGTGTCATGAAGTTAACGTGGTATCAGACACTAGCCTTGAGCTATGGCACGCCTTTTAGAACACTGATCAAGAAGGCTTATGCTTGGCTTACATTTGGGTTTTTGAAGTAAATACGCAGTCTGAAAAGCCAAACCTCGGGTGACTTTAAACATATGTTAAACAATTTTGAACCCTTACTTTTTTTATAGTTGTTGGAGTCGATAAACAGTGCATTCTCTCATCAAGACGAAACAAATTCTCTACCTTAAATGACATTATGTTCTTGTCGATGGAAACGTTACATATTTGAAGTTAAAATATTTTGAAATTATGACGATAAAAACTTCATAAATCCCGATTTTCAATATATATGATGCAAATCTGACTATATGCTTAAGAGTAAAATGAAATAAAATAATAAAATGTTTCGATACGACAATAACAACGTGATGACGTCACTCCAATTTTTAATTTAAAACGAAAACAAAGAATGAAGGGGTCAAGTCGAATATTCTTTGAAAAGGATGTAAGGTTTGAAGACTAATTTGGACAGACTTTGGCCACTTCTACAAAGATGGAGGACTAAAATTGTTTATTGAAAAACTTAAATCATGGTGTTCGGACGGCTCTTTGTGATTAATTAGAAGATTAGAACCAAAAAAAGGGTTTGCGACATTTGTATGCATATGCAAATGCAAATGCATATACATATACATATAGGGTTGGGTTCACATGAGATCAAGGGTTTTTCATGAGACCCGTAAGACCAATTTATGTTCATTGATCAACTTTATAAGCTAATGATCTAATGGTCTAAAGTTGCACGGTGACAATTTTGTGATTATTGAGAAGTCTCGTGGCAAATTTTGTGATTATGAATGTTCAGATTATAGATCTAATCCAAGGGTTGAGATAATAACCAACATATATATATATATATATATATATATATATATATATTACAAATCAAATAGAAAGCCACTAACAGTTGCAAACTGTATAAACCAGTTTCATGTATTGTTTCATAGATATAACAACAAATGTGAGACCAAACCTGTGAAAATCATCCGATGAGTTTGACTCGTAACTACAATTAATAGTATTTCACGTGTTTTTGGTATTTATGAGTGTGAGTACGTGATAACGATATACGAATAAAGGTATTTTTGTATTTTTCTTTTAAACGTCAAACATTGTTTCATATTTCATCTATGTAAAAACACTGTATGAACTGTGTTGTTTTGTCTATAAAACAACACATACAAATTGATTTCTAATTTTCAAAACATTTGACAAAAACTCTTAAAAATCATTTTTTATGCATGAAGTATTGCATATTGATATATATTACTTAAAATTCAAGATTACAAGTAATTTTGGTAAATACAATTTATTAAAGCTCCATTTTTAAATTTGTGTAAACAACTGCGGATAAACATAATCAAATAAAGAATAAACATCTCATATTAAAATATAAAAAATCCAAAATATAATTAGGATAATTATCGAGTTCTAACAAAATAAATAATTATTATCTTTATAAGAAAATTATATTATTAAACCAAATATAAATTACTTCATTATCGAACCTAAATTAAATTATAATAAAAAAATAAATTAAAAAATTACACAAAAATGAGGAATTTTAAATAATTAATTTGATACTAATATCGATATAATTATATCAAAATTTTATAATATATTCAATTTTATATTTTATTCAAAAATAAAAACATCATCACTTTTTAAAAATCACATAATACTATATTATAACATCTACTAAGATAAAGAACAAAATAAAATATTAAAACCAAAATATATCTCTTTATATTGCACGAATACTATTTTCATAAAAAAAAATTAAATATTAATTCGTGTGTACAACATTTAGTAACGTTTAGTGCGCCTGCTAAAGGACACAATGTTTTTTTCATAATTAATACTATTTTAATTTTCTTTGAATCCTAGTCGTACTCGTACACCATGAGCCCCATGTACATGGGTACATTTCAAAGGACAAAATTGTCTTTTTATTGATGTTTTCAAAGACCGAAAATAGATGGTCGGTCCAATCTGGCCAGATATAATTTGAAAACGACGTTTATAAAGATGATGGGGTTGATTGAACACTTAATCATATTTTTATCGGACAAACTTATGGTACATAACTGTTTATGTGTTGTCATCGATACATATAAAAAGGAAACGAATTTGGATTTAGGATGATAACGTAACAAGTTTTGACGGGATCTTAATGGGTTTATCTTGTCTTGTACACTTGGATCGGGTCTAATGGGCTGAAGAGGATCGGACCATGACATCATCAGCCTGTGTCCCAGGCTGAATCATTGGTCCTTTTTCGAACCGACTTCTTTTTAGGTCGTATTGAATAAAGGTCTTGTCTTTTTACGAACGAGGTAAAGTCCAAACCAGTCTTTATTACAGTTTAACTGAATATGAACTCTGGTTATGTCATGGGTTAGTCGGATATGCCCAAAAGAATAAGACGACATGTAAGTCCGGTTGTTGTATATGTCATCATATTTACCTAAAGAAATAATATCGATTCTTGTTAAAGAAATTACACCAATACCAGATTTTTATCGAAATGACATTTGACATCAACTCTTATCGGTCTAAAAAATGCATATAAACGATTACGATATAAAATTTAAACAAATTAAGGACTATAAATTGTCATCATATTAACTCTTTTATACGTTGGAGATAGCGAACGTTATTGGGTTTTAGTAACACTCGTCCCTAATACAGACCTGTTGTGAGGTTTGAATTGTAATTTATTGATGTTAAACCTTAAATTTGTCATTTTAAGTATTTCGAATGTTGTCTGTAAGAAAGGAATTTATCCTTCAATTGATGTATTACAAATTTTTTAAATTAGTCGTTCTTTCCAGATTTGAGAGTGTTACGGAGAGGGACGAAGCACAAGGCAATAATGAGAGGGCGAGAGGGCAAACACTTGCTTCGTCATACAAAAATTGTTGGTCCCTAATGGGATGACAAAAAACGTAGAAGTATTGTTGAATGGAGGCTTGCCTAAAAATACACAACTTTTTTCTAATTTTATTCTCAAAGTTGAGTTTATAGGACACCCCCAATCTCTAAGTGTCCGAATAGACCGCTTTATAAGACTTAATTTATAGGACCAAAATATAAAGCGTCATATCTAAAGGTGTTGTTATAAGTTTATATGACGCTTTTGGGCGTCTTAACAAGTTTTTTATGACATTTTTAATACAAAGTGTTGCATTAGCAACTTTATATGACACTTTTGAGAAAATATCCTATAAACTCATTTTTTTATAGGACACTTGTTTTTATATGACAGTTTTTCAAATAGTGTCCTATAAAGTTGCTAATGGGACGCTTTATATTAAAAGTGTACTAAAAAATTATTATGACGTCAAAAAATGTCATATAAACTTATTACAACGCCTTTAGATATGACACTTTATTTTTTTTTGGTCCTATAAAGAGGTCTATTAGGTAGCTTAAAAGTTACGAGTGTCTTATAAACCCAAATTTGTTGCAGTGAATTAAAGAATCACATAATGTTTATGAAATAAGGAAAGATAAAGTTAACCTAAACAGCCTATTTGAACCGAAAAATATGATCTCACAAGAACACTCGCTTAGGAAAGTCTTCAATAAATGAATGAACAAATGATTTTCTTGTTGTTCGGGTGGGAAGTCGATTATGTTTTGTGAATTCTTGCAGATAGAGATTTCGTAAGCTCGTGTGCCATGCAAGGAAAGAGTACTCTGCATTTAGCAAGTCATACATTTAATGCTAATGAACAGTTGGGAATTTGTCATCTTCGGATAATTATGCTAGAGCTGACTAGCTTACTTAATTGGTTCAGTTCTTTTCATAATACACCTTAGGGGTTGTTTGTTTACCTTTTAATAATTTCATTAAGAGACAACATCTGAATCGTTAAGAGGTGAATCTTGTTTGGCCAAAAAAAAAATCTGTCTCTTAGTGGTTCCAAAATCCTCTGAATTATTTTGTATTTTAGACATCCCTTAACCATTCAACGCCCTAGTTTCATTGTAAACAATTATCAAACAATTTTAATTCATTTTGCATTATATCATGAGAGCCTCTTAATCATTCTGATAACTTAAACTTTTACACCAAGCCATTTAGCAACTGTCAAATAAAATGAAAAATCACCGATGGGTGATTGAAAATCCTTCGGTGATCATGATCACTGGCCACACTTTCTCCGACGATGAGATCTGCAGATGGCTTTTTCAGACGGATTAGTGAAGGATAAAGCCTCTTAATTTTATGATGATATAGAGAATCAAACGAAAAAAATATAATTTTACATTCAATTAGGGTTTACGGATGAGATATACTCGTACATACATTGTCTCTACTTCAGAAGATACAAACACATAACCACAAGGGTGGTGTCCGGTTGGTTTGAGTTTGACTCCAAATGTCAAAAGTACTTACAGGTCTCAGGTTCAAATCCAAGGATGAATAAAAATCCTCTTGTGGCCTCAAAGGTTCAAATACGGTGATTCCAAGCTATCTGCAAAACAGCAGTTCGCCAAATATTAGTTTTTCTTTGTCGTTGAAAAGGTCTCCAATGTTCAAAATATAAAACAAATGTATGAAAAAAGATTCTTTGCACGCTAATTGGCGGCAAAGGAAGGATATCTATATATATACAATTTGCAGGCCTAAACCCTAATTGGTTTCATAACTCCGTTGACCTTGACCACCATCTCTCTCCGCCGTGGTTTCTCTCTTTTGGCCGTCCATGGAACCAAATCAGGTGGTGGTCTCAGAAAGCTCCGATGAAGCAATAGACACCGTCCAAGAACGAAATACAACTCAAACAACAGGTCGATCATACGAATGCACCTTTTGTAAACGAGGTTTCACCAATGCACAAGCACTTGGAGGTCATATGAATATCCACCGTAAGCACAAAGCTAAGTTGAAAGAATCCTCCTTCTCACCACCACCAAACGCCGCCGCCACCGCCACCACGACCACCGCGATCAGTCCGTTTTCCATTTCTACTCAAGGGAAGAACAAACCACTTTCGCTTTTTGGGGGTGGGTCGTCTGATTCGACAGAAAATGCAACGAAAGATGATCCACCATCGCCGGCGCTGGAACTAGACCTCGAGCTCAGGTTAGGACATGTCGAATCGCCGGGAAACAAGATTACTGCTACCAGGAAATTTTTCTAACAAATTCAAACAAAAATTTTTGTGGGTATTTTACTAATTTATGTTCTTAATTAATTGTCAATAAATTCTGAATTACTCGGAATATATGGACTTGACCTTTTTCTTTCCTGTTTCTGCTGATTTATTTGTTAATTCTTGTTTAAACTCATTTGTTCATACATTAAACGGCCTTCTTATTATTCATAATAATAATCGATTTTGGTTGATCATTCGATACATATTCATTTAGTTCATTATACCTGTTGATCAAGGCTAAGTGTGTGTGTGTGTATATATATATATATATCATATATATATATTGTATATATACATACATACATACGTATATCAATACCCTTTTGGGTACAACGCAAATCGCCCAATGCTGATACAGACTTTTTTGTGCATACAATATGGATATATACCACTTGTTATTTAAGGGGAATGTACTTTATGCCCATTTAGTGGTACGTCTTAATTAACACGAGTTAACCTTGAGACCATTCGTAGTGTAGCCATGTAGGTAATATCAGTTAATGTAGGGTAAGTATATATACTAGTATAAAGACCCGGCCTTTTCGTAGCAAAGTGAACCCGACAATGTAATGCGACGTGGGATATACTGTATAACACTTGTCGATCGATGGCCATTTTGGGTAATTTCATGTTATGTATGTGAAACCCTTTTAGTAGAACATGAATTTAACACCGGGTTGATATAGGCAGCTATATCGATACAGCCACGACCACTTTTAGTGCAACATATATGGATCGGTCTCTAGGGTAAACATGGGGATATAAAGTCTCTTCTTAATTAGTGCAACACAAATGCAATAATATATGTGGAGTTTAAGCAAGTATATATATATATATATATATATATATATATATATATATATGTAGATACTTGATAAAGAGAACCAATTTTATGTTGAATTAGGGTATGATATATTAGATATAAAGACCCTTCTAACGCAGAATTGGTTGATCTAGGATAAGCATGTTCACATATATAAAAATCCTTGTTAGTGCACTATGAAATGTGTATATATAGGACTAATCATATGAGAATTATCTAGTTTGTGATAACCGTGAGATTCAATATGAAACAATCATTTTATTATATTAATTGTTTTTATTTATTAGTAATTTGTTTAATTTAAATTAAATAATTTTTTCTGATAGTTTTCAATGAATGCTTTCAATCAAGGATTATATTTTCTATTTTATCTCAAATAATTGATTTTCAAATTAGTGATCAATTTTGATATTCATTTTGATAAAGATTGCAGATTCAATTATCATATCATCTTCTATCCAAGTTCGTTTCATTCATCAAATCTGATCATTTGGCTTCTTCTTTCTTATATCTTAGTGGTTCAAATCAAACTGAAGAAATCTAATTCTCAATACCACCATCAATAGCTCTGCCATCACCATCATCCCTTCCTGTCCACCTCCCCCGACCACCGCCATCACGATACGTCAATATAGCCTCGTCCCTCTCTCGATCTCTTTCCCTAGGCGCGAATCTGTGAACCTAAACTGGTCTTTTCACCATCGTCAATCTGGCCTCTTTGCTCTCTTTTTCCTCTCTTGTTAATCAAATCGACAATGACGATGAACTTCTAATGATGAAAACTTATTAGAGGTCATCATTGTTTTCGTCACTTTATTTGATTTCATTAGGGTATGGGTATCACAGGAGTATCATAGTAGTATCACAGTGGTATCGTAATAGTTATCACAGTGCACATATTGTATGTATTTTTGGTATCACACTGAGGACCGTTTGTGTATATCTCTTTTTAACAGTGTTGATGTTTTTAGGTATCACATTGTGTATTTTGTGTTTATTTGGTGTTCGCCAGAGTAAGGTTCACCAGAGGTCGGAGAGAAGAGAGATAAGATTTTTAAAATACCTAAAATGTCTTTTAATTAAGTCAAAATTACTAAAATTATTAATTTCTTAATTCATCGTTTGATTTGTGGTTGAGATTGGATCTCACAGTTATCATAAACAATTGACTTCTCCCTTGAATACCTCCTATATATAGGGGGGTTAAATGAAAGCCAATTTTCGGTTGTAAAAGGGGACAACAGAGCGTGTCTCAAACCTTCAATGCTTATTCATTATGAATAATATATCATTCATGATGAATGTGTATTATTCATCATGACTGATGAATCAATTCAAAATTGATCATGATCGTGTATTATTCATTATGAACGTTGTATCATTCACCATGAACAGTTTATGAACTTCATCATCGTTATTCATACTAAACGCCCTTTGTTTTCATATTGAATGTGGACGCAGGGGACAGGTGTCACGCTCTCCTTTATCCCACGGTTCACAATCGAAACTTGGTTTTCATTTGAACTTTTATACGTCTCTATATAACATGAGTTCATGATCATTAGGGCAATTAAGCATATGCCAATGACCAAGACAAAACGTGAGCATGTATATGATATATCTAATTGACATAGGATAAGTACATAAAGATCCTTTTTTTTAAATTCAACGTGATAAGTTCGTATATGTTGATGATATAAAGACCCTTTCTAAGTGCAACATGAGTCGGCTAGTCTTTATAAGTATGTTGACGTAAAGAATTTTTCATATTTATACGATATTATAAAGCATTTGACATAAACTCTTAAAAACCACTTTTTCTATGTAAAGTACTGTTTATTAATGCATATTACTTAAAACTTAAGATTGCAAGTAGATTGTGCGTAAGTACAGCTTATTAAAGCTTCATATCTGAATTCGTGTAACTAACTGTAGATAAACATAATTAAATACCGGATAAACATCTTATTTTAAATATAAAAAATTTAAAATATAATTAGAATAATCATTAGGTTCTAACTGAATACTTAATTATTATCTTTATAAAATGTTATATTATTAAACCAAAAATAAATTATTTTGTTATTAAACTAAAATTAGATTATAATAAAAAATTAATTAAAGAAATTACATAAAAAATGAGAACTTTTAAATAGTTGATTTGATATTAACAGCGATTATTTTTTTTCAAAATTTTATGATATCTTCAAATTTATATTTCATTCAAAAATAAAAACATTTTCTTTTTCTCAAAACCACATAAAATCGTTTTATAACATCGATATGCTCAAAATATAAAACGAACCATTAAAATCAAGATGTATCTCGTAGCATTGCACGGGTACCCTTCTAGTAATGATTAAACACTCCTTTTATAAATAATATCCATTAGTTAAATGTAGTGTCTTATTAGATTGTTTAATAAGATTTAAGTTTATAAGATCAAACAATTGTACATCTTATATAAATATACTACGATAAGTAGAGACATTTTTAGTTTGGATGCCCTAACAAATTTTCTTAGGACAATTTATTTCAAAATATACTACGATAAGTAGAGATATAACCACAAGGGTGGTACCTGAGTGGTTTGAGCTTGGCTCCAAATGTCAAAAGTACCAGGAGGTCCCACGTTTAAATCCAAGGAGGAATAAAAATCCTCTTGTGGCCACAGAGGTTCAAATACGGTGACTCCAGGCTATCTGCAAAGCAGGCGGTCGCCTGGGGATTAGTATGCTCGCATAACGGGTTGGATATCCAGGTTGATAAAAAAAAGTAGAGAGATATTAGTTTTTTTATAAGACATTATTTGAGAAAATGCCTTATAAAAAATCAAGTATTCTATAAAAAAAAAAATTGTGTTAATCGGATACTCATCAAGTGTCTTATAAAAGAACAACTTATTTCAAAAGTGTCATAAAAAACTTGTTATGATGTCCAAATACGTTCCAACATCCTATTGTAACACTTTTATATAGGCCGCACAATTGTTTTGCATGATAAACTTAAGTCTTGTAAAACTGACTATTAATTATGATATTTAAACTTCATAAACGTCTTACAGAGTCAATTTTGTTGTAGTACAAAGATCATTCTTGATGTAATACGACTGATATATAAGACTTTTTTGGTGCGAAGTGAATTTGTATCACCGATATATTTAGGGCAATCAAAGTATATCTGGAAAAGACCTTTTTAGTGTAACATGAAAGAATATAATATCTAACTACTAAGAGGTAAGGAGGGGTTGATCTATTTCCAAGAGTCATAAATTCTCAAAAATTGATTTTTAATAAACGTATTGTGATAATCGGGTTTTTTCGATTATAGAATTTGGGATGGTTTTTGAAAAGCATTAGTAAGCAAAGAATTTTAAATTGTTTATATGTGATTATTTGCTTATTATATTTCTACCGCTTATGATTATATGTATAAGTTATTACTTGGGGTTGTATGTGTGAATTGTGGATTATAAAATCATTAACTTTCACAATCTGTGTTTTTGATAACATATAAAAGTGATGAGGTAGATTTATCTTATTCATTCTATCTTAAAAAGAAAGGAAAAGAGAGAAAATTTACTGTGTGAAATACTATGTGAAGCTGTTAGAAGTTGATTTTGTGATTATATTTGGAAATCGTTGTTGTAAGATTCATCTTCAAAATACGTGCATATAAGGTGAGTTTATGTTATCAATTTTCTATATTTGGTATTTGAAATATTGGATTGTTTGGTTCTATGGGAAAAAAGCAAGTTGTTCTTGAAATTATTTTGGGTTGATAATGAAGTTGGGTTTAGAACTTATAAGAGTTCTTAATATAAAGTTTATGTGATGAAACTGTTTTGATGCCATCCTTGGCAAAAATGACAGATTTGACTACAATTTTATGAGGGAATAAGAGTGGCATATCAATAAGATGTTTACCATGTAATAAGGATGGTATATCCAAGAGATGTGTACCATAGAATAAGAATGGCATATCAAGGAAAGAAGTACCTTTGGATAAGGGTGGCAATTATGAAATCTGAGTTTTGATCATTCATCTTGTTATTACATCCATAAGATGCAATGATCCTGACTTATCACTTCTGTGTGATGTGAGGACTTGGAATTATTGTTCTTATTGATATGATAACAATGTTGTTATGAAGAGGAGGAAAATGGTTTATAACCAGAGAGGCTTTGATTGTTTGTGTTTTGAGCTAATAATATTTTTGGGTTAATCTGGATGTTATACTTTGAATTATTTCAATAAGGTAAGTTTTGATGAGGAACCAAGGGGGCTGATCTGGTTAGTCTTCAAGACTAACAAGAAGGCCTCTGTTTGTGATGGAAAATCCCAAGTTTTTCAAATACTCATATTTTGACCAAGAGGCTTCGTATCATGAAATTTAACAAGCACACAAGCTCTGTATCCGAGCTTTGTATCTAAATTCCTAGTCCTCCTTTGTATAATTTTTATAAGTTAATTTTTTTTAACTTGATTTTTTCCAACTTTAATAGAGGACCAAAGAGGCTCTTGTTAACTTTCATGTTTGACCAAAGGGCCTTTGGTTATGTTAAAGATCTAATTGTCTTCTTATATTTCATTTTCTTATTTTTATTATTAAGTTTTAGTTGAAAAGACCAGAGGCTCTGGTCGTTCAGAGAGCCTCTGGTTGGTCATGTATCCTTTAGTTGTTCGCATGGATACCGTGGATGCATCAACCCTTTTTGTTGTTGTAATTCAAAGTCTCTCTAACTGTAAGGTATAATTCTGAAACACCTTATTTAATCTTGTTCGTATGGGTCCTTGGAGGGTTACGAGGTTTTTTTTTCCGCTATGTTTGAGATCCCGTAACCCCACCAGGGATCACCGGCAAGGGGCTCAGCCCCTTGGAAACACCGCTAGGGGTGTTGTCCCTAGGACCCCGCAAGGGGGTGCGGCCCCTTGACCTAGCTCTATAGCGATTTAAGGTGATAAGGGCAACATTTGTAAGTGTGCACTTCGCACCTCCTAACTCATGAATGTTTGCCTCATCGCCTTAATCGATCTCAAGTAAATCATCATTACACCAAAATGTTTGATGACACTAAAATCACCAACATGAGATCGAACCCAAGATTTTTCTTGTATTTAGGCAAAATCATCCCACTCATTTGCGAACGAAGCTACACACAAAGACAACTCTGGCCAATTAATAATAATAGTTTTAGGATGTTTTATTTTAACAACGTTAAAACATGCACATGTCTGGTCGATTGGTTGCCATCCTTACAAATGAGATCCATCTAATCCTTGTCAAATAACTCAATCGAGTTAAGTTTGCAGTATCATGATTAACTACGATTATCATGCGACTTAACTCGCTCCATAAATCAGTGTACGAGGAAATCTCATCTTATCTTGACTACAATATCAAACATATCAAACCGATATACCCATCAAATTTTTACTTCTAAAATTTCTCTTTAATTAATTTCTTAAACTTACGATCCTGCATCATATACTTTATCTCTTGGCATCAGTCAAAATATTATGCTAACTAAATAACTGAAGTGTAGATCCCATCAATCTAATACATTCTAAAACATTTAGGAGTTTGATAACTCGTTACTAGAGCTCAATTTGAATTAAATCATTGACCGGGTAAATCCGGTTTAGATATGGGGCTAGAGCCCAATTGAACCTGATACTTTTTATTTATAAGCTTAAAGTTATGGGTTTTCAATACCTCTGGTAATAGTTTCAAGTTGATTTGAAGGTTACTGAGTCAGTGAGTCAACTGATTTAGCCTATGAAGCGTTACAGTAATCAAGATAGTATCAAGCCATCACTGAAAGGGATGACTCAATTCACACAAATTTGGTTTTGATGTTTATGATCACTAAAGCATCTAAGACCCTCATCATACTAAAATTGATGTTTAAGAAAATGGTTTATGATTACCGTTTGTTACAACGCTACAACACACAACGTTTGGTGGTCAGCAGCAGTCATTTGACTACGTTTATCATACTTTTTCCACGTCAGTCGACGTGCAATGCTAGTCTAAGCACTCTATAGAAATAGATCGAAGCTTAAAGAAGTAAATCTTCCCTTAGATTTATGCTAGGTGTTGAAGAACTTGAAACATACATACGCCTTTATGGGTACCAACCTCACATTTCCTCTCGAGTTTACTATTGTCAATTGGACTTCAATTTGCCTCGCAACTAATACAGGAAGGGACCAAAGGGTTATTGATCCAGTCGTGTATGATAACCCAACATTTAGGGATATTAAAGGTTCAAACCTTACCAAAGGTGATGTGTCTGTGTGAGTTTCATTACCGTGTAAAAATATTATACGCTTAAAAGACTAGAACGGTAAAGGGCTTTCAAGAACCTCAACTTTTCAAATTATTAGATTTGAGCACATAACAAAACAACCCTTCAAGTTTTTGTTTTGCCAACAAAGAGGTGATTTCCCCAACGCTTACAGGATCTCACTTACCTTATCGGATGAGCATGACAAGGTTCGAGAATCTTATTTGATAAGAGGCATAGCAAGGATCAATAATTTTACTCAGTAAATGAAGAAAAACACTCCTACCTTGTAACCATTTACCAACAATCTATTTTGATAACCGGAAAGGTTATCCGACAAGGTAAGTAAGAAAGGTGGAATTTTTTCGAGATTTTCAGAATGTTTCAAAGTGGTGAAAAGTCTCGCGAAATTCCCACGGCGAAACCTCGAGAAATTATCGAACCATGACTATGAAAACCAAATTACCCTGTACGAGAAAAATTGCACAAGAACAATGACATGTAGGGGTATATGTAGGTTGGGTTGGACGGTTTTTGACATTTTTACAACCCTACCCAATTCTGGCAGTTTGAAAAATCTCAACCAAACCCAACCCATTCAAAAGTATAACCCAAACCAACCCTTGCGGGTTAGGACGGGTTGGGTTGAGCTGGGTTGGTGGTTAGTAATACACATACTTCATATGTTTATCTATGCAATGAATACAAATAACTTGTATGAAGAAAGAAAGCAACTTCTACACATTTGTGGTCCCAACCCTTTAAGCAAAAGAACCGAAAAAACAAAAGATGATCGATGTCAAAGCGTTATTGATCAAGTATCTAAAACAATATTTCGTCATGATGAAATAAAATACCAACGTTTAACTTTTGGTTTTCCAAATCAGAGTAGAAATATCGTTGAAACCCATCAGTAGTCAAAGGACGCTGTTAATACCAAACCGTTCCAATATACCCGAGTCAAGGGCAGGGTTAGATGTGTACTCGAACCTGATATTCAGTAATCATGAGATATCACCAAACAAACATTGTTGAATTCCGATCAGAACATACGGTACAATTGTGGCAATTCGACAATACATGTTTCATGATTAGATATGATACACCAAAACTTGTATTCTCTACTTAAGGAATCACCAGCATCAAATATCATAACCAAGAGGTATATTCTCAGGTTTGAGAGACTTGTTGGTGTAAGCCAAAAAGATAAAATTCCCTATAAATGGCTTCCTATGTGCTCAGTGCTCGCTTAGAAGATGATTATATAAAATGACCTAAAAACACATTCGAAAAAAATGAGGCACAATTCAGAAAGGAAAAACCCTTGGAGCTTATTGAGTAGCTACTTGAAGTAGCTTATGACTAACCAAACCGGGCTTTTTCAATAAGCTCAAAAACAGCTTATGATTGCGAAACATAGCCTTGAGCTTGTACATTGTCTTGAATTACAAGGGTGACAAGAATTTCACTCCCTCCGTGTGGTTTCTTGGCTGTTTCTAGGAAAAAAGGCTTATTTATAGAGGGTTGAATCATGTAAAACAAGATATTTGCATCATCAACCTAAAATGTGTTCCAACTTGTTTCTATAGAATGGATGCATCCTTCTACCAGTAAGTTGGTAACTTCCGAGTTGAACCTAGATATAATATTATGACAATGTTATACCCTCTGTAGTGTGGGTAAATTTAGTAGGTTGGGTACAAGTGACCACTGAGGTAGTACAAGTAGGTTATGCAGTGGGTTAGTATAAATAAGAGACATGAGAGGCTAGTAGGGTATTTCGGTTTTCTAGACACAAACTCGGTGAGAGCCTTTGGGAGAGAGTCTGACCTCTCGAAAGTCAGATACATACCATTGTAATTGTTCCTAAATCGAATGTAATCATTCGATTTCTAGTAGTATTGCTTTTCTGAATCTACAGTGTACATCAGACAACTAACTAGGATTCATCATAAACTCGTACAACCCATAAAAAGAAAGCCACCCCGCCCTTTACTTTTGAGGGATAGGACACAGAAAATCCAGTTTCTAATGATAACAGCATGTACAGAACTTACCTACTTTTGGAATCGAACAGAGATTTAAATATGCACTTAACTAGTCCGGGAATGGCATACTTCATCTTAAAGCAAAATCCAATAATCAACTTTCGCAAAAAGTATCAACTTGGACTCCCAAGTTTGCTCATAATCAAATTGAAACCTTTGGTAGGGATATAAACGAACACATGTATCTTTAATTTTTTAAGCCGTATAGCATACATCTCTATATCTGCACTTGTGTCCTTGCTAAGTACAACTGCTAAGCCATAACAATGCATGTATGATTTCACATATTCACCTACTATACCATACAGCAGGCTATGCAAATATAAATTTGAAGCAAGTTCACAATAAGAAAGTCAGGATAATTAAGAAATGAAGGATAAAGGTTCCACATTTTGAAATTTCCTAAAAAAGCTAGAAGCTTTAAGCATGACAAAAGAAAGGTAGCTAAAATGCATTAGGCAAGTCCAACTCACATCAAAGAACAAGAAATCTTGACCATCAACAATAGCACAAGATATAAACGAAGAAAAGAATAGGATTTAGGTATGTCATAGATTACTAATAAGACTACAAGTGTATTGTTTTACAGATGGTGACATGGACTATTTACTTACCAGCATCTTATTTGAATTCTGAAGACTGATCACAACATCAGAACAGGAACAGAAGCTCAGAGCAGCCTGGAAAAGAAAACCAAAATCCTGAATCAAAATTTAAAGATGCCAACCATGAAATAGTTAATATGAAGTTAAACAGTAGAAGCATTAAAGCCAGAAGATCCTGCTAAAGCTCACCTTGTTTGATGATCCAAATGAATTGCAAGGCAACATCTGCTCAACCAAGTCATCTAGTCAACAATATTTTCATCTAAAAGTTAACCATAAATTCAATTTAGTAACAACCAACACCAAGACATACAGGCTCATCTATACATTCCAAATAATATATGCTAATGCCGATTGCTAATAACCTGATCATCACCAACTGCATTACCCAGACACATGTTCAGGAAAATCAACAAATAACACCAGATATTTCCAAACCTATATCACACTATACACAGCAGAAGAAAACTAAAATTACCAACTAGTCCCAGCAAAAAGAAGACATTTATTACCAGCAAATTTAGCAGGAAGTCAGCATAAAGTTGCACTCACGATAATATCTCAGAATATCCTCAATATTCCTTTCAGCTGCCATCAGTAAAGACAGACTAGTATTAAACAGCTATCAACAATACACAGCCAAAATGTAAATGTTGTAGGGGGAGGAGGGTCATGAGAGAACATGATGAAAGTCATTTTAAGCTAGCATTCTAAATTAACAACAAAACTAATGACCAATGCCCTTTTTGGCTCTGAGAGACTCAAGGGCCTTTTCGCGCAACTCAATCTCAAGTTTCTTCTGATCAGACAATGCCTCCTCATTGTCAGTTACACGTTCACCCCTCCTCCTAACAGGTTCTGCATCAGAAGCATGGCTATCGTGACTTTTGTCAGGATCTGAAGATGGAGAAACATTCCCGCCTGCCTTCGGTTTTAGCTTTTCTGTCCGTCGACTATCCTTTCTGCGACGTCGCTCTTCCCGTCGTTTACGCTTCTCTTCTTTTTTCAATTTTTTCTCCTCTTTGCGTCTTCTCTTAGCTTCCTTCCTGTCTTCTGTACGGGAGTCGTGACTATAATCATCATCTGATGTGACATCTTTCTTTTTCGACCTTTTGCGTTTTTTCTTTTGGCTAGCACCACCTCTCGCTTCATCACTTTCTTCAGAGCCAGAATCCAGTGAGCCACTTCGATTATGCCTCTCAACTTTTTGCAACAACTTTGGCAATTTTGCTGCTTCCTGATGCCTAGGACTGCCTTTGACATCACTTGCACGTAATTGGTTCTTTTCATCAGTTTTATATCCTTTTTCAGAAATCCGTGCCCTGTCACTTGATAAATTGTCCTTACGGCTACCGAGGGGCTCCTCTGCCAGTTCAGGATAATTCCTCCTTCCATCATCACTTTTGCTGTCAAATTACAAAAAGATTAAAAGCCTATTTCATCAAGTGTGATGCAGAGCATACCAACCAACATAATTCTATACTAGCTAGTAAAGAAAAAACCTTTTTCTCTTCTGAGCTTGAGCATCACTAGAGTGATGACTAGCAAACTCGGGAGAATGTTTGTTCTTGTCACGCCTATCATTGACCGTGTTTTTATTCTGGTATTTCTCTTCTTTCACTCTGTATGAGAATTAAAACAAAATTTGACAACACATATTCTGAATCCTCTGAAGTACTTATTAAAATGAAAATATATCAACATTTATGGGATATAGAGAGCCAACCTGGAAAAAGTCATTTCTTCCACCTCTATGCTATCCGGATGGTCCTTGACAATACTTTCTCTTTGTCTCTTTGGAGGTATAGGACTGTCAGAAAAAGATTTCTTTTGTTAGTTGGTTTTAAAGGAACTCTTGTAAGCAAAATATGATGACAGAGCCACAGATTGCATATTGCAACAGAGTAGTTATAGAAGACCATATGATGTTAAGAGAATAAACAAAGGTGTGTAGCCTGCAATACCTCCTCTCCTCACTAGGACTTCTCCCAGCTATAGGAGATACAGAACCGGACAGAGAGTTATATGGTGAGGAAGATAAAGCTGGCTCTCCATTATGAGATATCCCTCGGCCCTTCGGATCTCTTTCTAAAGACCTTACTGAAACAGGAGGTGGATTCCCTGACGAGACAGATGTTTTACAACCCTCAGCAGTCTCTTTTCGTGATGCTTGACGATCATGAGGACTTTTCTGAACAATTCTGCAAAATGCCCCAGGTTCAGAACTGTTCAAATAAATATGATAAAAAGGAAAACTTCAAGGGTCCAAAAGACAAAGATACCATCACAGAGAACCCAAACATCAAGGATCACACATCCTGTTTCAGCAATATGGACAATTGGACATACAGTAGCAGAAATAACCATTGCACTGATGGACAAGAAGGAAAAATATGAAAAATAGGTAACTCCAATAACCTGTTCCCATCTCTAGGAGATCGTACAGGTGATCTCTGTTGGCGCCTTGGTGATCCTTTTTTCAGCAGCGAAGGGGATGTACCATGTATAGGAGACAGAGAAATCCGACCTGATGGTGAAGAAGACATACTTCCAGGCCTTGGGGATCTCTGACGACCAGGAAAGGCTGTCCTACGCCTAATTGGAGGAGACCGATCGTGTGGAGTTGATGGAGCCCTTTGATATCGCCGCCTTGCAGGAGACGGGGACCTGCGTCTAACTGGGGAAGGAGATCTAGGATGCATAGGGGACAGTGATTCTTGTCGTGAAGGAGACCCAGAGGACTCTGACCTGCGTTGAAAAGGGGACGGTGACCTCCTTCGGATGGAGGACCGCGACCTCCGCCGCATGGGGGATCGCGACCTCCGACGGATGGGAGAACGCGACCTTCGCCGGATGGGAGAACGAGACCTTCGCCGGATGGGAGAACGCGACCTCCGCCTTACGGGGGATCGCGACCTCCTTCGCATTGGAGAACGTGACCTCCGCCGGATTGGAGAACGGGACCTCCGCCGTATGGGAGAACGCGACCTTCGCCAGATGGGAGAACGTGACCTCCGCCGGATCGGAGAACGCGACCTCCGCCGGATTGGAGACCGCGACCTCCGCTGGATGGGAGACCGAGACCTATGCCTTAAAGGCGTACGTGATCTGCGTCGCATGGGGGACCGTGATCTGCGCCACACAGGAGTCCGAGATCTGCGTCGTATGGGAGAGCGCAACCTTCGCCTTGCAGGTGAAGGTGATCGTCCACGTGAATGAGACACAGATCGCCTCACCTGTGGAGGGGATGGGGATCGCAGGCGAGACTCCACTCGACGAGGTGTGAGAGACCGTCTTGATAGAGAATGGTGCCTCCTTTCAAAAGAAACAGAGCGCCTTAAAGGTTTAGGAGATGCTGACAAACTTCTTGACCTGAGATGAGGGAAATGAGATATATAAGTTAAGGATCGGAAGAAAAGAAGACATAAAATGAGAACACAAAGTGAAGTGCAATATATTCCATTACTGAAATGTAAGAACATAGTTGAGCAGAAGATCAACTGAAATAAAAATAATGAACTTGGTTTAAGATTTTGGATGACTGCACACCTTGAATGACTTTTGGAATTAGAAAAGGACTTGCTAATGGATCTTGAACGTGCACCACTGCACATACAAGAAACAGAAAATAAGCAGCCAGATACTACAAATCAATTGAAGCATAGTGAAAGAATTATAAAGATAAATCAGGATATAAAAGCCTGAGACCCTTGAAAGAGTTTTAGCTAATGATCAGAAGAGATACCGGGGTGGTGACGGTGAACGATCAGCAGAATGTGGAGACTGGGAGATCCTGCAGAGGAGAAGTAAATAATGGAAGATTTTAACAATGCTGTTAGTATAGATTAGCATACAGCTCATATATTACAAACATTTTCAAAATTACAAATATTCTTAGCACGACCAGATCTACATGCACAGGATAATAGCAAAACGGATGAGCAAACACAAGGGCGCTAAATACTAAAATCATATCACACACAAGGACACCAGTAGCTGTAAAACTGGATGTAAGATAACACATAATATCTTTAACTCCGTTCAACACTCATAAATCTTTAGAACATAGGGTTCCAAATGTAAAAACAAATGAATAACTGTATGCACCTACATGAATGTTTGTATTGGATATCTAGATGAGTTTTGATTTCAGTGTGAGAGCTATGCTGTTATAGAGGTGAAAATACAAAATTGCGGCAGGGACCAATATTTGAAATAGCGGTTGTAGTGGTGGTATAGCGGTCCAAAGATAGCGGTCCATACAATATTTCTTAGAATTATATATAATTATATATATAATATGCCTACATAAACATATCATTTGCAAAATAGGAAAAGTGTTCATAAACGAGCTAATCGCAAGCAATAGGTTCAGCATCTGAGTTGGAAACAGAAGCTAGAAGCTGGAAGTCACAGAAGCTGAGAACCTGAGACTCATGCATCGTGGTTGTCTAAAGCAGATGAGATCGCCGAACAGAGCCCAGAAGAACAGATAGTCTAAAGACTAAAACAGGTTGTCGATAGACAAACCTATGTTAATGGATTAAACTTAAGAAAAATAAAGCCCAAAAAAAGAAAGACGGGAAATAAAGCCCAACTATCTAAAAACAAGACTGAAAATAAAGCCCAAACCCCCCCCCCCCCAAAAAAAGTAACACTAATATCGAACGCAATTGACCCTAAATATTGGTTTAAATTGCGGTAAATTGCGCCGATAATTGCGCTACCGCAATTTAAACCGCAATCTGACCACCGTTATTTTGCTGATGTCCGCTATCCGAGATATCGCCGCAATTAACAGCATAGTGTGAGTTTATCAAAAAAAAATGTGTCTCTGCAGAGAGAGAGATGGAAAGAGCAAGACTAACAGAAGCAGTCAGTCATGGACGTCATTCTTCTATTTTTACATGGGATGAAAAAGCAAAGAAACAATGTTCGAAATGTACAAACTGATGTTTCCGAAAAGCTAATTTTGGCAAAACAGATTCCAGAGAACCATTTGCAGGAACAAATAATGCCCCGTTCCAACTAAGCAACCATTGGGCAATAGCAGTCCTTACCAACTGGACAGATGCTGTATGACAATCTAATGCTGCAAGCATTGTCTTCACACTGGAAATATTGGGTGCTTCCTGCAAACCTTAATGCATTTGTTTACTAACATAGCTGTCTATTATTTCATGGCAGCCAATAATGAACTTGTATACCACCGTACTTGCTCTAGGTGAAAGCAGTCTAGGCTTGCTAAACGCTCGTGATAATGGGACAAACAAGCAGAAGAAAGCAAGCCTACACAAAGATTTTGCTCCTAAACTAATGCAAATGCTAAAAAATATTGTATTACTCTAACCTGGCCGTTCCTTTTGAGCCATTCCTATCATTTGTCCCTTTGTCGTCACTTGACCACTTGCTAGAAACTTTTGTGTGGCTCCTTGAGTGTGGCTCCAAAGTAGCAGCTTTCACGTTGTCAGCCTCTCTGTCCTACAGTAGTTGAGGAAAGGACATGAACCCAAATAATTGCAGAAGCAAGCTGAATGTCATGAGAAAAGCATACGTCAAAACCAAAAACTTGACCCTAGGATAACTAACTCTTGCATGGAAAAAATTACTACCATCTTCACTCTCTCTTGCTCAAGCTGACGGCCTTCCCTCTCTTTTGTTCTCTTCATTCTCTCTTGTTCAAGTTCCCGGCCTTCCTTCTCTTTAGTTCTCTTCAATTCTCTGGTTATACGGTCTGTATCCTCCTAAATCCATGACGCCATAGTGAGATGAAGATGCAATACAATACATATACATAACTTTACCAACTATTAAACAGAATAGACACCTGCTTCTTCCTAGTTTCTTCCTCCTTGGCATCCAAGAACTGTTGAGGGACACCACTGGCATTCTTCTGGGCACTGAGAAGATGTGTCCAAAGCTCTTTCATGAACTTCCCTGTATTTTTCTCCATAAACCCAGTAAGTGAAATTTGAATCTCTTTGCCATTAACTACCTGCATTCAACAAAACGTGCAACAAATTATCAGACTTCTTATAGTAGCACTAGTTCCAGGTACAGAAATTTAGAAAACATCATCAGCTTTTACTTCTGAGGTCAGGTTTCATTACATACAACCTCATCCACTGCCTTCTACGAGAATGGTCAAAGTCAATCCACAATACTATGACGGTGTCTATCATCACAAGGATTGTTCTCATGCCAAACCAGAGATATTTGACTAATATTTGATGTTGACTATTTCAAATACCCTTTCTGCCTGTGTAAGTATACCTTACCAACAATATACACTGGATGGCAGATACTTCTACACTATACTGCATAATTATGGTGCAAAATTCAGTTCATATTAAATATTATAAATGATAACGAGTTACCTTTTCCTCTAGAAGGCCATAAATGAAGTTAATGAGAACTTCATCCTCAAATCCAAGAAGTTCAGTCACCCTGTGTGCTATCCATGGTCGCATGACATCCATCTTAACTTTCGTCATGTCCACCTAAACATAAGATCGAAGTATTATCATAAATAACCACTACAAAACAACATAGCTGCTGAAGTGTGTAATACGAAGTTGTTATCATTACCAACGTATTTTCTAAGTCAGACTACTTGTTTCTCCATTATTATCATTACCAAATAAACTGATCTTGATTTGTGTCCATAAGATTCCTTCTTTTTGTCTTCATTAAAGGGTATTTGATTATTTGATAATAGTTGCACAATTTTCTTAAACTGCCCATGTCTGCGTTGCAACTTTCTCGGATGGAAGCAGCATGTTTTCTTTTCAGGATTCTTTCTGCCCATCCTGGAGACCGTCTGTCCCTAAATCTACTCCCTCCTTTCTAAGAAAGAGATAACTGCTTGACAATTTTCAGAGTAGTACTGTACTATAAGCTAGTAAACATACTACACTACAAAGTTCATAGTTTTTATCATTTACGTATAAAGCCATATTATCCATCATTAAAGCCGCTTCCACCATTCCAGGAATAAAAATGAAATAAATAAATAAGCGAATGACTTTTAACGTTTTAACATAGATCTAACATTAGCATTCGTCTATCAGTTGAACTTCAACATAGTCATCATTTTTTTCTCAAAATCACACACAAAAATATTCAGAAATTTGAAGTTGGTTTGTTTTACCTCCGAGGGTAAAGAAACAAGAAATTCACTCACAGACACTCCAGATAGCTCAATATAATTCTTTCCAGGTTACACAAGGCTCCATTATGCACAGAAACAAGGTAAAAAAACCAAACAAAGATGATGCAAGAAAAACGAACCAAATTTTCCAATTCAGGTGGAAACTTTTGCGATTTAAGCAGCTTGGCATGCTTGTTTGAGAAACGAGTATCTTGATCAGCCGTCGTACCCTAATCGAAAACAAAAGTAATCAGTAATTCCAACAACTTCAGCTACGAAGATCTACTCGAATTGTTTAAATCAACAATTAACATATTCCAACAAGCTATTCAAGATGAAATCCGTATTCACATAAATTGAATGTAAGTGAAATAACTCACCCGGAAGAAACCGCCGGACATCTTCTAGGGTTTTGAAAGAGATTGGCCGAATAGCGATGAAGCTGTGGTGTATTTTCTTCGACTGAGGAACGAAGAATTGAGAAATAGGGCTACGAGCGGGATCTATTTTAGGACATCTGTGTACAACCCGCTAATGCATATGCGATAAAGTGGCTTTATAGAAAACACCCTTAAAGTTTGGCATTTATGTCATAAATCGTCCCTCAAGTTAAAGATATAATACATTTCACCCTTATATATTTGTACGATATTTTTTTTGTCATTTTAACAAGTAAATATCATTTTGTTTTTGAAATTTTTGTGGGTCTTATGATATTTTATTTTCTATAGAAAAAAGATTGTATTTTATAAAAAGATCATTTCGTTATTGTTCTATGGTTGTATTTTCAACGAGTTATAGTCATATGATTGCATTTTCTTAATGAGTTGGGTCACTATGATTGCAATTTTTTAGCAAGTTCAGTCCCTAAATAAACTAATGACGTGGGTGGTTGGTCCTTGTGGTTGCATTAAGGACTCAACTCGTTGTAAAATGCAATCACGTGGCCGCGATCCATTGAGTTTTCAAAAAAGAAACAAAGGTCGCTAAAAATACATAACCATAGGTGTGAAACTTGTAATTTACTCTAAAAACTTCATTTACTAACTCAATCCACTATATTTTAGAGACATACATACAGGTAAATAAAGGATAAAATAGTAATTTCAGTATGTTTTATGAGATAGTGCATTAAATGAAAATTAACAGTTGGATTGGGCTGAAACTTAGGGTTTTGGACAGGATATTCTAATTTATAATGTGTGGTTCTTCTTTGTCAACAGTGGAGATCGTGTTCGTCAATCTAAAGCGTGAGATACAAGTTTTAAACATAAACTTTATTTTCGGGGTATTTTTCCTTATCGTTCGCTTTCCTGGTTGTTGTTACCATTGACTAGTATTGTGTTGTCGTTTACAGGTTGTAACGCTTGTTTTTTTGGATAGTACAATTTGCTGTTAGGTTGGTTAATAAACCGTTGTTATGATTTATATATCTACCATAAATTCTCGAGTACCTTATTTTGTCCATAGTGTGGCAAGTTCTGTAGTCTGGAGGGTTTCCCATCGGGTTGAGGTCATTTAAACAATCAAATCCAATCCAACTACTACTTTATTTTGAAAATTGTAACTTGTTCAACCATATTTTAATGTGTAACTCAATCCAACCCATTATATTCAAGGTATGGTTCGGTCGGTTTGAGGTGGTCAAGTTAAACATTTATGTCTAATTGTATAAACACAAGTGCTTAGATACGTAGGACATATTAATTGTTTGTTTATGAGATAAAGGGGTTGTTTATTTACCTCTTAATAGTTCTATTAAGAGGCAACCTCTGAATCGTTAAAAGGTGAATCTTGTTTGACAAAAACAAAGTCTGCCTCTTAATGTAACTAAAACCCTCTGAATGATTTTGTATCATGGATCTTCATTAACCATTCAGCGCCTTCAATTTCATTGTAAACAATTACCAAACAATTATATTTCATTTTACACTATATCACGAGAGTCTCTTAATCATTCTGACCACTTAATCATTTTGCACCAAATCATTCAGCAACTGACAAACAACCCCTAAGAATGATTGAAACTTCTAGTTCTATAGCTTACAAACTACTACAGATCATTTGACCATTCAACAAAACAAACTAGTAACTGAATGGTTTCACAACAAAATTTAAAATTATGGGGGAAAAAAAGCACATACTCAATAAATTTAGACAAAAAGCACAAGATTTGAACTCTTGAATACTGGAATATTTTTTATGGACAGGTACATTAATAGCTTATTAGGGTTGGCGGGTTGTTTCAGTTTGCATAGGCATGGCCTATGACCAACCATACTGTTATTACTTTGTATATTTTTTAAATAAATAAAATCTTGGGTTAGTTCGATTTGGGTTTTGGTCTATTTTTCAACTGAATCGGATATGGTTTTTTTTGTTCGTAGGGGAAAGGACTAAATACAAAAGAAACAAACAAAATATGAAAATGATATTACAGCAGGTTTTATTACATAAATAAAATATCTCATATACTCGTGTAATTTAACTATTGACTGCCAAAGAGATAGATCGTCAATTTATCATCATGGCAGCACTTTCGTTAATTTTCATAGAACAAATAAACTTTTCTTTCAATCCAAATATTGATGCGTATTTTTAGCGATAGAGCTTATAAGAATTCTATAGCTGACAGTGACAAAAGCTTATAAGAATTTGAAAACTGGCATTGACAAGCATCGTACACATTCCAATAACTTATTTCCCATGAAGGCATTGTGCAAGTGTAAGTTCAATTGTGCAAGACAATCTATGAATAAGAAGACAGTTTGCGCATCAGGGCAAGTGCAAGTGTGCAAAGCAATCTACAATGAAAGAAATAAGCAATACGTGCAATAAACGCAAGTAGAAGTGGAAGTGAAATTGTGTAAAACAACCTGCGAAAACAAATTAAACAATTGTGCAAGACCTATTATACTTCCTTCCTATGGAAATTATCAAGAGCCTTTACAAGAAAATTTTCATCAGATACAGACATGTTATACTTCCTTTCTGTAAAAAGATAATTATTTGTCTGTCATAGAAGATTTTATTGGCTTTAAAAATCCTTCAGTTAACTTGAAAGCAATAATCTTTGTGCTTTTATCTTCTACTCTTTTTGTGATCAGTACATCGTTTGAATATTTTTTTATAGTCATGGTCCTATGTTTAAGTCTATTAACCTTGTTCCTACCATTTCAATTGTCACACAACAAAAGAAGGGTTATCTGTGTGTTGGTGCATCCTTTACATCAAACAAGTGCAACTGTAATTGTGCAAAGCTTTATGTGGGGACAAAATAAACAAATGGTGCAATTGGGCAAGTGTAATTGTGCAAAGCAACCAATGTTCTTACATTGAAGTATTGAAGTCTCAACGACTAGTCAGGCATACTTGGTAGGCACAAAGTATTGAAGTCATGATGAAGAAATCGAAGATGAAGTGAGATTTGAGAAGAAACGATAAAGTGCAGAGATGGGATATTGAGATAAGAGGAATGATGATGGAAGGGTGTAAACAAAGAATGAAGAACAGTCGAGGGCCAGGGGACAACGAGATCTTCATTTTCGACTCTTTGTGATTGTTGTTTCATAACGATTGTTAGGTCCTATCATGCCTTACTGGTTGAACGTATTTGCTTCCTCTTGTTGTTATTGGATTGGTAATTGATGAGTATTATTTATATTGATAACATAACAAAATTTCCTCACTTTTATCTTTTGTTTTACATCCTTAAATGGATGACTTGAGTCTTTTTTGTTATTGTTTTAAATCTTTCTTGTTTATAAAGTCTGGAAGAAGAAACAATCTAGTTTGGTGATTTTTTGGGTTAAAAATTAAGGTGTTGGAAGACGAATGTCGGAATAGTGCTACAACATAGGCTGAAGGGTAATTTTAAGGGCTTTTTGGCAAAAATATGGTGATCTTTTGTGATCTTATCAACCTCATTTACAGTTACCCTATTGCAGATTTGGTGATCTTATAGTACTAAATTGATCTCATATATTTGTACCCTCTGTTATGCATCATGACTTGTCCTTTTGCTTTTGTAAAAGTTGGATAAAAGCTTTATCATTTGGTCTTTGTGTCCCCTTTTCATAGCATATAAAAGAATGGGTATTGGACACTTTTTGTAAGCTAGTTATAAATTGTAACTTTACTTTGGAAGCATATTTGGTCATTCTCTCTAATTTTAAGGAAGCATTAAGTATTCAAGCCTTTTATTTATTGCAATTTCATTATTGTCTTTTACATTCTTGTATTTTAATTTCCTTTGATGCTTGTTATTTTTTATGCAGTTAATTTTCTCATTCCAAGTATGGTAGGCTAACTACCCAGCTTGGGTGTGGGGTATTGTTAAGATTAAAACCAATTTTTGGATATGGAAGTTGTTGATTAAAAGCAAAATTTTCAAACCACATCTTTCAGTATATATTGAAAAATAACATTAATAGATAAGTTGATCACTTGTTTGAATGTGTTAAAGTGTCAAACTTATAAATAAGTCAACAAGCAAACGTCAACTTGAGTGATATGGAGGTAGACTTGAGAGAGCAACTTAGAATTGATGAGAATCCTTTTTGTTCCATTTAGCTTATAAAAGGGAAGGTATGAGCCATTGTCTACTTTGGCTTTACATAAGGATATGGAGGTTAACTCTATGGATATGTGTCATTCTAAATCTCGAGAGAGTGTGCCTTAAAGAAGCTATTGATTGGATAAGACGAGTTATCTGTTGGACATGCTACAACACCATGTTGTGGCATTATGTTAACTTTATTTGGCTGAATATCTTATTGGATCTCTACACCTTAATCTCCTTTTTAATTATTTGTTCACACTAGTAGTTATATAACACCTCATCAAAAATATTTCTTCGAGTTCATCATTTGAAGTTAGTCTTTCATCTTGAGATCTTGCAACTTAAGATACTTATCCCTCTTGAATACAATACTTGATTTTATCATTTTATTACTTGAAAAGCCGATAATGTTGATACATTTATACTTGGATGAGTTACTACTTAAGGGTGGTTTACCAACGCCTACCCTGAGTAAGTGTTCAACGAAAAAATTCAACACTATCAATTACTTACCGGGTAAAATTTTAGTCCACCAAAACAATATCGTATGCAACAATTTACCTAGTAAATGCTAATCGTGGTAAGAATCGCTGTCATCACTTATCGGGTAAGACTCTCAATCTTTGCTTTCGCTCTTACCGAATAAGATCATTGGTCCTTACCATATTGATTTGGTAAGGTAATCTGACTTGATAAACGCTTACCCGAGTAAGCGTTTGGTAAACGACCCCTTAGTGTTGTAGAGACACAATATTCAGCACATCAATAATTTTCCAATGAATATGAGTATAAACACAATCTGATGTCGACAAGTCAACATAATTATCTTGGGAGCATATACAAGTTAAATACTAAAGATATAATGATGTTGAAATATCGTCAAAGAATGGAGATCCCTGAGGTGAGAAAGAGGGGAACAAAGCAGTTTTTAATGTAGAAATTATAACGGCAAAAAAAATAGTCACATAACTTGTCATGAATAGTCACCGTACTTGTCGTTGATGACAACGTTACATATGTTTATAACGTGCATCAACATCCCTGTTGAAGACAATACCACATGACTTACATGTTGTGCTTCATCTCTTGTTTGAAGACAATACCATATGACTTCATATTTTGTGCTTTATGTCCCATCATTATATTTTATACATTAACATATAAAATACACATTTTTTTAATTTGATTTGATTAAATCATGTTGAATCATATATAATATGTATATAATTAAGTTATTAAACATCGTATTCAAATATGTTTTATATGTGTGGTCCATTAGATAATTGTAATGTTAGTAATGACTATAAATGCCATATTTATAGTCAAAATGTAGAGAGACATCTAGCCATACATTAACGTCACCAAATGATAAGGATTAATGACACAATTAATCTGATTATGTGGTTATTTCCACTTTATATATTAAGTCCGTTTATCATTGATGTCCAGATTGAATACAAAATATTAAAGGGTGCCACTAAAACTCCATTTTTTTTGTTTCTTTTTGCATCTTGGGTAGGGGTGTAAATGATGCGAGTCGAGATTGAGTATCAGTATACTCGACTCGAACTCGAACTCAAAACCCAATTTCCAAGCTCGAACTCGACTCGAAAACTCGCGAGTAGTAAAAATCAAAGCTTGACTCGAACTCGATAACTATTTTTCAAGCTCGAACTCGAACTCACATCAAGCTCGAAACAAGCTCGAGCTTGATGTGTTATCTTATTAAAACTTAAAGGTGTTTTCTTAGTTTTTATAAAACTAAAGGAATCAACTTCAAACTTCATTATAAAAAAGACAAGTTAGAAATTTCATCCATTTTTTATAACATATTTTCTTCCTTCCTTTACCATCTCTCTTCCAATTAGGACAAATTCACTAAACTTTTTTTTTATAGTTTTTATTTGTCTTTTTTAATTGTGATTTTAATAAAAATAATTGATTAATTTTTATAATTAAAAAACGCATAATTTTGTTTAAATATCTAAAAATACAAGACATTTTTATTATTTATATCTTACAAATTTTATCATAAAAATTGATTATATTTTAAAACTAATTATATATAAAATAATCGAGTATCTTACGAGCTTTTCGAGTCGAGTATTGGGTATCTTGACTCAACTCGTTAATATTTCGAGTCGAACTCAAGTTCAAGCCGAGCCTAATGTTGACCGAGCTTTAACCGAATCGATCTCGAGTAGCTTGCGAGTTGTCTCGTATGATTTACACCCCTAATACTGAGTAAAGTTTTGGTTGAATTTATATACCCTGTGGATTTTTATGTTTCTTAATGTACTTTTTGTTTTTTTTAAATAAAAATGTGTATTATGCATTTTAAAGTAATTATAGCTTTTAATTTTAGTTTTATCATATAATAATTTTTTAAAGGAAAAGTTCAGGAAATCCAACGACTTTTTTCATTTTAAACAATCAAATTTTTGAATTTTTTTAAATGTAAAATAATTCAACTTTCTTATTTTAAATGATTAATTATTGAACATGTTTTTTGAATAAACAAACTATCAAATTTCTAGAATTTGGTTAATACATTATTTTAACTCTGAAAACTTATATGTAACCAACTATAAAGGTTTTAAAGTAAAAAAAAAAACTAAATCAGTTTTACCGTTCACAAACTCTATACACCCATCACACCTCCTAACCATCACCTGTCGTCCCGTCATTGTTCTGCTCTCTAACTGTCCGTCATTCGTTGTTGGCTCATGTCATTGATTTTCCGCTTTTTGATCGCCTTTTTTTAAATTTTCAAATTTCCATCTTTTATATATATATATATATATATATATATATATATACACACTCCAGTTAATTGTTGTAAAAGAGATAATCGAAAAAAACAGATCAAAAAGAGGAAGGCCATCGGCAGCAATGAACGGTATAGAAAACATACGATAACAAGGCGACGAGAGGTATATACTTTAAGAGCGATAATTTTGATTTATGTTTTTTTTTTTAACTTTTAAAATAGAATGCAAGTTAATCGATTTTAAAAGTTTGATGACAATATAAAAAAATTACTCAATAACATAATCATTTAAAGTAAATTTTTTAATAATTTATTGATTATTTTTTTTTAAAAACTTAATCATTAGAATGAAAAGTTGATCCCTTTGGCTTTAAAAACTAGAAGGATACTCGTATAATACACCAAAATATATCTCAATTTTAATGTTTTGTTTTATTATTTGTGTTTGTCGATATAATACCGTTTTTAGTGATTTTTAGAAAACGATAATGTTTTTATTTTTGAATAAAATATAAATTTAATGATATCATAAAATATTGAAAAATTAGTAAATATCAATATTAATATCAAATTTACTATTTAAAATTCTCGTTTTTTGTGTAATTTCTTTAATTCAATATTTTATTTAAATTTAATAAACGAAACAATTTCTTTATCGTTTAATAATATAATTTTTTTATAAAGATAATAATTAAATATTATGTTCGTTATCAATGATTATTATAATTATTTTAGATTTTTTTATATTTAAAATGAGATATTTATCTCGTATTTGATTATGTTTATCTATAGTTAGTTACACGAATTCAAAAATGAAGTTTTAATAAGTTATACTTACGCACAATTTACTGGTGATCTTAAATTTTAAACAATATGCATCAATAAACAATATTTTATGCATATAAAATGAATTTTAAGTGTTTTTATCAAATACTTTATAATCTATATTACTTTATAAATCAGATTTATCAAAAGTCTAAAAACAATTTTTAATGCACAAAGTACTATACATTTATGCACAAAGTCTTGAAAACAACTCATAATGCATTAAGTAGTACTACTTTATGCATTCAGTTTTAAAATCTCTTAATCTACAATGAAATAACAAATAGTTTAAGTTACCAATGCATATTATTACATTTTATTTTCATGTTACTAAGATACTTTTGATACATTTCACTCATGTCTTCACCTTTTCATACCTCTATGTCTTCTCCTCATCCCCATGGTGAGATTCAAATTAATATTTACTATGAATTATTAAAAGTTCTCTCATTCATCTCACATTCAATTGCTCAAGAACTCTCGGTTTCGGTCTCACTCTCTCTCTCGATCTCTTGATTCTTTGCTTTTGGTGTAAATCGAATACATTTGTGGAGTCATTTAAATATGTTGGATTTTAAATATATTGGATTTTAAATATATTGGATTTTAAACTATCATACAATTTTTTCCATCGATAGACTGTAATTGGAACCATAACTCTTATTTATTCAAATTGTATTAATATGTAAAGACCAAATGTAACTTATATTATCGTTAAATCTTCTCTGATAAAACCGATAAAACTTAAAAATCGTTAAAATTCATGATTCCGCCATAATGCACGAATACACAACTAGTATAAACAACTACTTTTCTTAAAATCCAAGTTAGTTTTAGCAACGGATTTTTACGATTTAAATTCGTTTCTTTCCCATATATAAACGGCTGCAAACCTATTTAAATTGCACATTTCCCCCCTCTTTTCCGAACCGCAAACCCCGAATCTCCAAATTCATCCTCCGCCGATCTCCGGCGATCTCCGCCGTAGTCTCTCACACTCTACATCACCTCCGTGCCCAAATCTTTACGTGGATCTCCTATTCTTAAAGAATTAAAAGCTGAAAATCAAATACTAAAAAGAATCACTACTAGTTAGGGTTTTTGTGATAATCGGGGTTTCCAAGAATAAAGAATGGAAAGTCCGTCCACGAGCACTGTGTACATCCGAATTATCGAGGACGTCATCAACAAAGTCCGAGAAAAATGCGTTCGCAATGGTCGTCTGAATGGTGACATTCTCAACGAATTTCGAGCAGTGAGTTATTTCTTGACTATTAAACTAATGGTTTTAATTAATTTTCAGTTTCAATATAGTTTAACGATTTTTAATATCATTTGATTTTCGGAAAGTTCTTATTCGTTTTGGGATGATGTTATTGGTATAGGAATGGGAGACGAGGCTGATGAATCTTGGCGCTATAGTGGGTCCGATTGACAGATCCGCTACAAAGTTGACGGCCCCTAGGGATCCGGAAGACTCTCTTCAGGGTCTTAATGTACCTTACGGGGGGCCTCAAGCGTATGAGACATCTACTGCTGATTCACTTTACCCTCGGGTGAGTTATCTGTTGTAAATATGCAATTTGTCTGAAAATTAATTATTATAGACTTGGTTGGATGTTTATGTTAACTCTACTGGAAGTGGATGCACATGCAATTCTAAGAGAAAGGTTTCTTTGTGATTTCTTCAAAATTTACAAGTAAAAATCAAAATCTCCCTACAAAAAATTACATCCAACTCCAGTTTCTCAATTTTAAAGATTACAATATTAATTATAGTATTAGAATATTTTACACAAATAATATTCGGTCAAGATTGATGCAGACAGCATTTCTTACACAGAAATGTCAGGCGGCCATCATTTAAGTGACATTCACACTTTCATTGTTCTTTAAGTGGAAATCGCAAACACCATTGCAGACTCCAATTAAAACCCCTTTGCCTGCTCAAACACCATTAACTGGAAGAGCCCCAACACTCTTACCAGGGACAGTGGACAGTTCATGCAATATACCCATCACTCCAAATGATTATCCTCCTGTAGATGAAAGTGCATTTTTCTTTCCTGATTATTCCAGTAGAGCAACATATATTTTTGGCTAATCTTTTCATTCTACCTAGATATCATTTATTATTATTGCGGTTCTTCATGTTGGTTTCATATGATTTCTGTGATTGACGTTCTATTAACTTGCACAGCAGCCACCATCTCCTAGTTTGAACCCAGGGCCTAGTCTTGATGGTAATATCGGTAAAAAAATCTATTAACCGCAAAGTTATATATGTTCTAGTTCCTATGAGTTTATTGTTTGTTACAATTTACTGCAAACACCATTGCAGCTTACGAAGAGACTGACAGAAGAGCTGCCCAAGCCCATGAACCAATGACTCAGGTTAGTGTAGTGATATTGTTGTTACTAAACAACGTCCTGAGTTTTACTGTGTTTTTCGTAAGGTGAAGGTTAGTTGTGTCCCAATTTTTTCCACCTTGTCATGATTTTATGTAAACTTAAGCAGATCTGCTTCCTTGCCTATATTTTAAAAAGCGAGTGTTCGGAAAAAAAATGTTCACTTGTCCTGGAAATAAAATTGTGGTGTTTGGATTTGTTATATAATGGTAGTTGGCATTTTCTGATGCATATAGAGCAAACTTTTTCTATTAAGTGTGATAATCTATTTCATTCAATATATACCATAAACACATGAAAGTAGTTTGTTCTTTCGTAGAAAGGGAGATATCAGATATGTAAAAAATGATGATCTTATTAATTAATAACAATACTAACCTTCATATCCTCAAAACTATAGAGGATTGGGAGGAAAGGGCAGATTTAAATGAAACCCCGTGGTAAATCTGTTACAAAATCTGAAAGACAATAGTACAAGCTTCCATGATGTCATAAGAACTAGTTGATTGGCACTTGGTAAGTATGCTTAGAGATCGGAAAGAGGAATTACAGAAAAGAATATAAGCAAGATGGTCTTCAAGAAGATTAGTCTGTTGTCTCTTACGGACCAAAGCTTATTAGCAACCACATAAAGAGAAAAGCTTTTCTGTTGGTATTGTGAAGTCATTGTTTTCTTTTTCCTCATGACCAGTATAAGTATGCATTCGTCTATGCATCATAAAGTGCTTACATTTTGTGTTTTATGTTTATATGTTCTAGAAGAGTTATTACTTAAGAAGTTCAAAAATATAGAGCGTTCAGCTTAGCTAGTAAAATGGGGGAGATCAGATTATATGGAACTTAATCTGTATAGATCCACTTCAGCAAAATGTAGAACACTTTAGTTATATGGTTGTAGAGAGAAGCATGTATCTATGTTTTGGACGAGTAACTATTCAACCTGAGAAGTCATGAACATTTGTTAACCTGACACAAGCTATTTCCGTTTAAAAACAGAAACTAATTCATTAGAATATACTTCACAAAATTTCCTCAGTTAGGAGAGACGTAGAAGTTAAAGTTCAATATGAGCCCAAGCTTTTATATGGGCTTGCAATCCCGGGCTCGGCTTTTCCTTGGAGATGAGCAGTGAGCTCACCATCATAGACTTGGGACATTGTGTGCTACCAGTACTCTTAATATTTGTTTTATCTGGTAAATTACAACACACCTTCTCCAAGCTCAGCTGAAGATTATAAAATCTTAAAAGACTTTTGAAACTTGAATAAGGTATGGCTTGAACTTACCAATACTGGACTGGCTGTTTTTACAAATAATCAACTTATCAAGGGGATACTGGTTTTCAAAGGCGCTGACATGTATTTTCATTCGCATCTGGTTTTGGACTTTCAGACAACTTTAGATAAGGATGAGTTCAAGGAGAAACAAGGCGTTACATAGTAAAAGTTCCACGTTTCAGAAACAAAGGCAATGAACTTTCCATTAGTTTAGATTATTTCTCTGGTCATTTTTCCTTTCCAATAACTAGGGAAATTTCAAAATATAATGCTTGGGCACTTTACATCGTGGACCAATAAAAATGGAACAGGCTGCTTATTCACTCTCTGCCATGTTTATGAATTTTTTTCCTTCTGGATAAGAAAATATATACTGCATGCAAAATTCAAATAATAAATGCTACCTTTAACCTTGTTGGATTTGTCATATACCCACAGTTCAAGAGCCAGAAATTGAGTGAAATACCATTATATAAATATTTTCGTTACTTCTGTCTAGGTCGATGGTCTGTATTTTCTTGAAACCTCTTATTTCAGACACCATTTATATGGGTAAAATGCAGAACTAGATTTTGGACGGATAAATCTCCATGAAATAGCATGTAAATACCAAGTTTGATTTTGTGCAATAATATGGAGATGGAGGGAGAGATACTATAAACAACACAACATTATGGTTACTTTCTTTGACTTGCATGACACTGGATTGGGTTGTATTATGAGTCTACCTCTTTTCAATGGCTTTAGAAATAAAGTTGCATTAGATTATTTACACACCCAGCAACGTTGGGGATGATTGGCCTTCTGTTTCTTTTAGACTATATGCTGTCTCTTGGTGTATAAGTGTAATTTAGTGGATGGACTTGTATAGAAAGAATCTTTTTCCATCTATCTGATTATCTAGTGTATAAATGACCAACATAATCTCAAGCAGTCAGGTGTTCTGACAAGCATTCTTTAACTGTAGTTTTTGAATCACTTCGTTTAAATGGAAGGACATTTGAACCAATTAGTGGCATATTCTTTCCTTTTTGTTTTGTACTATGGTCTTTTATGCAGTAATACTTGAATGCGGAAATGAGGAAGTATTGTGGTATCTTCTTCACGAGCCATTAGGGTATGCTTATAATATAAAATGCTCATCACTGCTAATACTATTACTTGTAGGATTTTCTTGATTTGTCTTTTGGAAAGCGGAAACGAGATGATTTGCCTTCACAACATCGTCCAGTCAGATATATTCCACAGCAAGATGGAGCTGGAGATATAATAGATGATAAATTTGAGGTGAGTCTTCTTGGTGCTTATCCTTTTTAAATATTCACATGTGCTCACATATTTGGCCATCTGACTGATGTTCTCTCTTTTAAATATATTCCATATTGCTTGTAGTTTTGTTCACATTGAAATCTCTTCATGCTAGTCCTTTTTGTATGTTGTGAAAAGATCATATGCCATTTTCGGTTTTCCATTTTGTGGGTCTTTTCCTCCTTTCTCTTCAAATCAAGTAAGTGGGGACCTATAATCACATATCTCACACCATATGATTGATGATATGAATGGCACCTACAAAATGGAAATGCTGTCATCATTTATCACCTCCTTAAAACTTTTCCAATTCTCGAAGTATCAAATACTAGGTTAAATAGTACATTTCGTCCTCCTTAATAGAATTGGCAAGATCTTAACATCTGTTTACTATTCTGAGGACCTAATTCTGCAAATAGGAAACCCAGAAAAAAAAAAGAATTTTCTCAATCTCTGTATGTTGTATGAGCATTCTTGCTTTCTTGTTTATGTTGTTTTTGCTTATAGAGAAGTTTATTGCTGCCTTTCGAATCATGACCTTCTCAATTGTAATTCATTCCAACTTTTATCTTGTTGACATTGAATGTACAAGTCAACATATTGTTGGTATCTGTTATGAATTACTCTTAGATTCCCTATGCTGGGTGTTTAGTTATATCTAAATAATATTTTCTTTGTACCATGGAAATATTAATGCTGATATTTCTCTTTTCTTAGGCTGGTCAAGGGAGCAATCCTCTATTTGATACTATCATTGATGAACTTGAGTTGTCTCCTAAGATTCCTCAACTAGATGGTCAAGCACCAACTTCTGCATCAGTCAATCCCGATGATGAAGACGAACCTTTAAATGAAAATGACGATGATGATGATGATCTGCCTCAGGCGGAAGCAGATGAACTAGATAGAAGAAATTTGATTCTGACCATGTATGACAGGGTACGTCGTTATATTAATGTATATCATTATTACTACATGCATTCCAGAAAACATGAATAATTATAGTTGGAAAGTCAATCCTATTATCTAATAAATTTTGTTTTTATTGTTTGTTGAACATAATATCAAGTGGTTGTAAACCGTTGTCGGGGTGTGTGTTTGGTACGTGGGACAGGATGGAATAGGACAGAACAAAAACTCATTATCCCACTTTTGGTGTGACAATAGACTAGGACTTGACAGACTGAGTGAGGCTAAAATGCATTTTCTTTTTGCCCCACCAAGATAGGTGGAACAAAAACTAGAGAAATGAGACAAGATGGATAAATTATTAAACTACCAATGTCAAATTAAAACCCTAAAACCTTCCATAATTATTTGATCAACCTACCTTACTCTTGCCCGTTCTGTTTTGTCTGGTCCGGTCCAGTTATGTTTAGTCCCATCAGCATACCAAATGCACCTGAACAAAAATGTGGCGAGTTGTGTCCTCCCTTGGTCCCATGAAGAAACACATTTTTCAACAAATGTTTTGCAACTATTTGCCAAATATATCTAAAAATATCCCACAATAACAAAAATGGAAGCATCTTATGGACCATAATGATCAATAGCATCAAAAAGTAGTAAGGATGGTTGATGATGTTGGCATTATCATGAACGAAAAAAAACTTGGTTTGCAGGTGACTCGTTCAAAGAGAAAGTGGAGGTGCCTTATGAGGAATGGCATTATACACATAGATCACAAGGAAACTTTATTCAGTCAGGTTTGTTCAATGCTCTGATTGTTTCGAGATGATTATATTCTCTTTAAATCAAATGAACTTTTGGTGGTAATCGTCGTTATCTTGCTTCTTTATGCTGCAATTTTATGTATCAGGCATTGGGAGAGTTTCAATTCTGATGATGTCTGTATGGCCAATCGGATGATCTGAGTTGTAAAAACAGGTGAATCATGGCATAAGAAATTTTGTACTTTGATGTAGTGAAAACTTTAAGCATCAGTTTGGATTTTTTAGCAGCAACTCAACTTGAGGTGTGATTGTTGATGTTTAGCTATACAGTTTGTACATAATGTACAACCCAACGGTATTCACGAAAACAATACATGACATGACATATATGTGTACATTCCAGCGTACCTATTAGTGGGATTTGTTGTGTTGGTATGGTTATGTTGTGAAAAAAAGGGTTTACACACACTATCTTGTAGAGTTGTACTGGTCCCACGAATAAGGATATGTAGAAAATCATCTGATGCATATAATTAAATATCCAATTGTTATTCCGGATTTGAAACAATTGGTTACTTGAAGTTCTACTAAAAAGTGTCCACTTACTACTAGATAGATAGAGTGGATTTTTAAAAGTTTTTTGGGATGAAAAACTTGATGAATAAAGCCTTGGAAAAAGGTTGGATTATTATAACAACCAACTGAGTCAAAGTTTTTTTTTTTTTTTAAATCTGCAATTAATTACTTAATAAATTTTAATTTATGAATTTAAAAACACACGCCACAAGACACGAAACAACAAGACTAATATATATATATATATATATATATATATATATATATATATATTTGTTATTAAGTAGAAGGGATTTTGCGTGTGGGGAAGTACTTGGATGCTCTTGGAATCTTGTTTGTTGATTCTTTTGAGAAACGAATCAGGGATGAGAGGGACACCTTATTTTGGCTGGATAATATTAGGCTTTGTGATTCTTTTCCAATGCTTGTAGTAGCACTCAGGGCCGGCCCTGGTCACGTGCAGCCCGTGCGGCCGTACAGGGCATCAAAGCCTAAAGGGGCATCAAGTTGTCATCTGTTACTAGTTTTAGGTCTAATAATTTGGGAATTGGACAATTGAGCTTTAACTATAAAAACAGGCCCAAGGCCTAGTAGTGATGAATATCGAATGCACATCATGAACCAGTTAAAGCCATCATTCCAACAACTCAATCTAATTTCTACTGTTCTCCAACGTTCGACTATTTCGATTTTCAAGGCATGGAGTTCTCTTTCCAGCCAATTAACGGTCATGAAGTCAGATTCAAGAAATTAAAGATGGAAATCTCGAATGACTGATTTCTACTGTTGATTGAACTTACCGAGTTACTGTGTGAGTCATATTATGATTTATGAATCTTCAAATCTTTTTGCAAAAAAATCTAAATTTATAACTGATTATTATAAAGTTGGGTCATGTGGTCGTATGTGTTACTGACCTACTAGGTTAAGGCGAATGGGCTTTTGTCATGTTGATAATGAGTCTTCGTTTTGCATATTGAAATATCTGAAAATTGAAATTTTCAATGTATTTGAGCACATCATTGTATCAACATAGTTGAAACACACTGCACAACATTAACAACATATTGTGATATTGTCTTAATTATTGGGCACTTGTTCTTTGCAATGCACAGTAACATAAATTATGAATTTTACATTTTATTATTGTTCTTTTGACTTTTGTTTACTTTGAGGTTTGACATTACTGCATTAGATTTAGGGGTCGTTTGATTGATTTTCTATTAAGTTCTATATAGATAAAGTTGTTTGTATGAATTAATATGTTTGTATAAGTTGGAAAAGTTTTTGTTTGATAGAGTTTTTTCGCAAATGTAAGGAGTGTTTTTTAGTTGGAAGGGACATGTTTGGAAAAAAAAA